TAATTTTCGCAATGGCCGGTTAATGGATGGGTGACCAACAATGTATTATCTTGAGTTCCTTCGTGCTTCGGAAGGCACGTTAAGCCGCTGGTCCCGGTGGCAACTGCAGTCGTTAGCACACAATAATCCGCGCTGGGCCCGTGTGATGGGCAATGATCCATTCTCCCTATGCCATCCATAGGTAAGGCCTGTGCCTCAGCGGAGGAGACATTAACAGGCTAAAAGGCATACTGATGAGGAAAGCGGAGCTGCTGCCCATTTAACAAAAGTCAAATATCTCTAGTAGTCTGTAAATAGTCAGTAAATAGTAAAAAGTCAGACATTTGACTTCTGTTCTTCTATTGTTGAATGGGCAATGCAAGCGCAATAAGGATTATGTTTTGTCTATTTGTTTTTAGCGTTCCGTACCTCCAAAGGAAAAAACGGAACCCTTATAGGATCACTTTGTTGTCCGTCCGTCCGTTTGCAAGACCGTTTTTCTCAGGAACGCGTATAGGTATCAAACTAAAATTCATATCTAATACTCAGGTCTACTGTCCCTTGGAGCTATGAAAAAATCAAACTTCTAAGCCAAAGCAGTCGAAAGATACAGCAGTTTATGCCGCAATTTACCACAAATTTTTGAAACTCGCACGGGAATCAGAAATCAGAAATCAATATATCTTTATTCAAATTGGATGTATAGTACAACTCTTTTGAATCGTCCAAAAATTTTTTTCCCTACCACTCGTTATGGACATATTTTTTAGCTGCGGAGAAAAACGAGCGAAAAAAACTCCACAACATTAAAAGTCTAATGTAACAACATTTACAATTCATTATGTTGTTACAACGTCAATACAATTATGATTTATTTAATATAGAAAACCTGTTGGAATGATTGGAACAGTTCAAACCCAAGCATTTTTGTCTGTAATATAATCAGTAATAAGCTTTTTTAATAAGTGTTTTTTTTATAACATCTTTAAATTTATTTATGGCTAACTCTTGGATATTGCTTGGGACTTTATTGTATAAGCGAACACAAAGACCTTTAAATGAATTATTAATTTTGTGAAGCCTAGTAGCAGGTAAAGTTAGTTTATTTTTGTTTCTTGTATTAATTGTGTGAACATCACTGTTTTTAAGAAACAAATTAATATTTTTTCTTACAAGTAATAAATTTTCGTATATGTATTGTGATGCGACCGTCATTATTCCAAATTCCTTAAACTTATCTCTTAATGATTCTTTAACTTTAAGATTATAAATTGATCGAATAGCTCTCTTCTGCAGCACAAAAATAGTTTGAATGTCGGCGGCATTTCCCCACAATAAAATTCCGTACGACATTACACTATGGAAATAACTAAAGTACACTAATCTGGCCGTATCTACATCCGTTAACTGGCGTATCTTCATTACGGCATATGCTGCAGAGCTAAGTCTATTTGACAATTTATCAATATGTGGGCCCCATTGAAGCTTAGAATCTAAAGTTATCCCTAAGATTACTGTGGTGTCTACAAGGCCCACATTCCTATCCTTTACATTCACACTGGTTTTTACCTGTTTTACATTAGGTAATACAAATTTCATACATTTCGTTTTTCCTTCATTAAGTAATAAATTGTTAACATTGAACCAGTGGACTACCTTTGAGATACAATTGTTCACGTCGTCAATAACTTTTTCATTGCGTTTGAGTTTAAATAAAAGTGATGTATCATCCGCAAACAATACTATCTCATGGTTATCTCTTACATAGTAAGGTAAGTCATTAATATAAATTAAAAATAAGAAAGGACCTAGGATTGAGCCCTGCGGAACACCCATCTTAACCGGCGAACCCGGAGACTTATTACCATTAATGTCAACCCTCTGAATCCTATCCCTCAGGTATGATGCAATAAGATCCAGATCAGTATCTCTAAATCCATAGTGGTGGAGTTTCCTGAGTAATGTTTCATGAAAAACGCAATCAAAAGCCTTGGACAAGTCGCAAAACACACCTAGAGCGTCCTGCGAGTTCTCCCAGGCGTCAAAAATTTGTTGTATAAGTTCAACACCGGCATCGGTTGTTGAACGACCCCGTGTAAAACCAAATTGTTTACAGTGGAGTATATTATATTTATTAAAATGTGATTGCATTTGATCTAACATGATTTTTTCAAAAATTTTACTAAAGGTGGGTAGTACAGAAATTGGTCTAAAGTTTGTGGGGTCTGATGTACTTCCCGTTTTATGCAAAGGGGTAATTTTACTGTATTTCATGAGGTCAGGAAAAACACCACAGTCAACACAATCATTAAATATGCAAGCTAGAATAGGAGCTATTGTCTCAATTACCGATTTAGAAACATCAACGGAATTGCCCCACAGATCCGCGGTTTTCTTTTTATTTAATTGGTGAAACGTTTTTATTACATCTTTAAAGTCAACATGTTTAAAATGAAAATAACTAGTACAAGGTTTCACGTTTTCTCTTAAGATTGATTCGGCAGCAATGGGGGAAGAGTTCAAAGATTTCGTAGTTGAAACTGGAATATCAGTAAAGAAATTTTCAAACACCTTAGCAACCTCAATATTTGATGTAACCTTTTTATTATCAATATTTAGGTTATAATTATTTTTGCGAGTTTTGCATTTTCCAGTTTCATTGTTTATAATATTCCATGTCATTTTGATTTTGTCATTACTGTTCTTAATCTTTGAACTTAAGTAATTTGATTTTGCTAAGCGGCATACTTTTTTAAACAATTTGGAATAGTTACGAACATGCTCTTTAAATTTTACACTAGTGTTAGAGTTTCGTTCATTATAAAGTTCATAAAGTGTTCTTCTACTTTTATGAATTCCAGGCGTAGCCCACTTACTAAAATTTACCGCATCATTAACACATATTTTTTTGGGTACAAAAACATTATTAAATTCATCGCAATATATATTAAAAAAATCATTATATAAATCATTTGGACTGTCTTTATATTTAAGATAACACAATTTTCTATCTAATTGATTTTTAAAACGTTCCACACGATTAGCAGTTTTTGGTATAACAGTGATGTGTTTTTTCGTCACCTGCTTGAGCTGATACGGAAATGTAATCAACTGGCCACAATGATCACTATCTAGTTTATTAATAATTTGTTTTTTCTGTGGTATAATATCTGTATATATATTATCAATACAAGTGGCCGAAGTGGCAGCTATTCTAGTAGGCTCAATGAATAAGTTTTTCAGATTGTATGATTGAAATAAATTTTTTATTTTAGTACATGAACTAGATTTTTCTAATAAATCAAGATTAAAGTCACCACAGACAATCAACCGTTTGCCTGTAGTGTATGTTTTTTTAAGAGCTTCATCCATGATAACTTCAAAACAATCATACAATGCTGATGGAGGTCTGTATACGCTCAATACAACAAGCTGGTCCAGTTCCACACAGGCAATTTCTATTGTTCGCTCAACCGAGAGGCTCACAATATCTCTTCGTTCCTTAAATTTTAGTTTTTTATTCAATAATATTAAAGAGCCACCTCGAATTGCATTTTCTCGATTGAACGAACTACCAACCTGATGATTATTAAAATTAAATATATTTTGATAACTTTTTAGCCAGTGCTCTGTAATACAAAAAATATCTATATTATTACAATTCATAAATAATTCAATTTCTAAGTCCTTACCCATCATTCCTTGAATATTAAGATGCACCAGGTTGATAAAACTTACATTTTTTGCAATGTTTTTGGATGGGTTTTTTTTATCTATATTAACAAAATTGTATTTTTTATTTACATTATTATTTAACAATATGCAAGACGAATTATCTTTTGTCTGATTGCTTAATTTAAACATTTATTATTATTTTGAGTGGTTTCAGTAGAATAATTACTGATTGTCATGTCATTAGAAGGTTGCTCAATAGGAGCAAGTTGTTTAGCCAAATTCTTGGCTGACATAAAAAAGAAATATGATAGCGACTTAACTACCTGTCTTTTATTATAATTAGAAAGATAATATTTATCTTTTGTCAAATAAAAATTTCTAACATAATTGTTAGAGTCAATCAAATGGTACTTTTTGCTTTTACAAATTGTGTACAAAAGCATATTTAATTTATATCTTAACAAATTTTCCTCTTTTGGCAGACTGTTGCAGTAAGGCAATGTGAACAATACAATTTTTTCCACATTTAATGTATTTAAATCTGTTATATATTTTAATAATATTTTTTTGTTCAAATTGCCTCTGTTTCCTACAAAAAATAACAAGGTGTGACATTTGCTGTAGCTATGCTTACTTGCCTTTTCTAAAATATCCTTATAAGAGGTACCAGGCATACAGTTATTTGTTATTGAATGTCCCATTTTAGATAAAAGAGGGCCCATATTCTTCCCAATTTCATCACTAAACATTATAATCTTGTTATTTTTATTATCTAAAGATGTGTTTCTTGAGTGAGTTACTTTCACCGGTGTCAAGTGAGTACCTATTGGGTGAAGTTGGGAATCAATAGATATAGACTTATGTTGTAAAGTGTAGGAGTCAAAATTGAGCGATGATTGAGTTCCCAACTGTTTACAATCACAAGCGTGATTGTTTGTTAATGAATCAACACCTAAAGGGTACTTCCCGTGAACTTAGAATCTTGTAATTTGGTACGAAGTAACGTCTTATGCAGATAAAGGAAAAATTGCGAAAACCATAAATTTTTAGTTACGTACATCATATAATAAAAAATATTTTTGAAAATTTTAAAGTTACTACCTCTTTTCTCATGAACGCGTAGAGGTATTAAATTGAGTTTGTACGGAACCCCCGGTGCGCGAGTCAGACTCGCACTTTGCCGGTTTTTTAAGCTAAAAGTCTGTTGGTAAGCGGTCACCATAGCCTATAGACGCTTGCTATACATATTACCCAACGCCGTTGCCTACCCTGACTCAAACCCCTACCCCGTGAAGCCGGGTATTTTGTATAAAACAATTTCATCAACTCCATATTCTTGTCCGCAGTTACCATACCAGTGCTAAACTTCGGGATGCTGCTCGGCTGGCAGTCCCCCATGACACCTGTCCTGCAGGACCCAAACGGCCCAGCGCCCGAGCCGATCTCCGACGAAACTCTGTCATGGATGGCAGCGTTGACATTTCTGCCACCGATCTTCTGTGGCTTCCACATGGGCGGCATGATAGACAAGTGGGGCAGAAAGGCCTTCACGATGCTGACGTCGCTGTTCCTTACGGTAACTTTATAGGCTAGTTTACGTTTTTAGCCGATGTTCGAGTAGATGCTACCCTGGATGGCAGCCTACACTTTTCTACCGCCAATGTTCTGGGGCTTCCACGTGGATGGCATGATAGGCAACTGGGGCAGAAAAGCCTTCACGATGCTGACGTCACTGTTCCTTACGGTAACTTTATTGGCTAGTTAACGTTTTTAGTCGATCTCCGAGTAGATGCTGCCCTGGATGGCAGCCTACACTTTTCTACCGCCAATGTTCTGGGGCTTCCACATGGATGGCATGATAGACAAGTAGGGCAGAACGGCCTTCACGATGCTGACGTCACTGTTCCTTGCGGTACTTTATTGGCCGACATTCATCTGTTTAGTCCAAAAAAAACACTGTCCTGATGGCAGCGTTGACATCTCTGCCCCCAATCTTCTGCGGCTAGCAGATGGTCGGCATGATAGACAAGTGGGGCAGACAGGCCTTCACGATGCTGACGACGCTGTTCCTTGCGGTAACTTTAGTGGCGATTTAGATTTTGAGTCTATTCCTGACGAACCTCTGTCATAGATGGCAGCGTTGACATTTCTGTCGCCTATATTCTGCAGCTTCCACATGGACAGCGTGATAGACAACTGGGGCAGAACGGCCTTCACGATGCTGACGTCGCTGTTCCTTGCGGTAACTTTATAGACCGACATTCATCTGTTTAGTCCAAAAAAGACACTGTCCTGGATGGTAGCGTTGACATATCTGCCACTGACCTTCTGCGGCTTCCACATGTGCGGCATGATGGACAAGACGGACAGAAAGGCCTTCACTATGCTTACGTCACTGTATACGTACAGTGGTATACGTACATACAAGGTACGCCTTGCGATAACTTAATTCACATTTTTAGCCCAGAAGATACACTATCCTGGATGGTGGCACTGATCTTTCTCCCGTCCATTTCTGTAGCTTCCACATGGGGCGCATGATAAACAACTTTTATCACTTATAATATACAATACACGTTTTACACTACAAAATGGTTTTGACGTTTCAACGTATGGTCATGGTAATGTTATTATGATAACATTTTGATTAGTATTATATTAAAATTATATATAATATAATATATTAGTATATATTATAGTATATATTATATTATTATTATTATATTAGTAATTAATATTAGATAAAAATAATATTGATAGACACATACGTCTCGTCTCATCATAATTTAAAATTTAAAATTATTTACAACAGTGATCGGAAAAAAGTGCCCCGTATATCAGTAGACAAGACTTTTCTGCGTGTCCATGCATGTGGGCAAGATATATAATGTTATATGTTTGGATTTTGTAAACATAAAATAAAACAGAAAATTTTCTGACATTGTTGATGTTGGCTGTTTCCAAGGACGCCTCATAGAGCCTCTTCTGTTGCTAGGCGCCCATCATTACTTAGCCAATAGGAGGCTCGAAGTTGTTCCGGCAGCCTATCAGCGAACGTGTGGTGACTTGTGACGTGCCGAATCAATATCAAAATGACATTATGAAATAGTTTGTTATATTGTGTTGTGATTACTTTTTAAGTGTTATGTTTTTTATGTTTATTTCGTATGGCTTTTTGTTTATTTAGTGTTATTATTCGTCTTGACGCTATATCTTTCACATGTCTGCAAATTCAATCCCTGGCAGTGACGACGTGCAACTAGTTCAGTGTACTAAGTGCTCCCAACCTCGGTTTTTTAAAGGAAACCGAGGCTTAAATATACACATTGGTAGGGTTCATAAATCCCCTGCCTCTGTGCCAGCAGTATCTTTGAATTCGGGAAACCAACCTCTTTGGCAAATTCTTGGCAATCTAAAAAGTTCACTTCCTATTTTAAAAAGAATTCCACGTTCTGCACGGCTTTCAGTCGCTATTTCTTTATCACAATGCATTGAGCATGTGGTAAGAGTAAACACGTCTGAGAGCTGGGCAGAACTCCTAACGTTCAGCTATAGAATTTTACATGTTAACCAAAACAGTATTTGTACTTCATTGACGCAAAAAGTAAAGGAGAACTGCCGCTTAAATCCGTCGGTTTATTCTCTTGTTATTCCTCCCTCTCGGCCTCCAAATTCTAATAAATCCGTAAAACTAATAGAATCCAAAATTAGCGATGGTGATCTCCGAGGAGCTGCCAACCTCCTGTTCAGTAATGATGTTGTCGCCGTCTACTGCCAGGAGACACTTAGTACTCTTGAAGACAAGCACCCACCTCCAGCACCAAATCTGCTTCTACCTACGCCACCAGATCTAACACATGCTCATTTCATAACTAAAGATAAGCAAATTTTAGATTCGATATTCTCTTTTAAAAGTGGCTCTGCCAGTGGTCTAGATGGGCTTTCTCCACAACATTTAAAAGACCTTCTTTGCGTCTCTGTCGGTGACGCTGGCAGAGTCTTATTACATAATATCACTCTTCTGGTTAATTTGATGCTATCCGGTGAAGTTCCTGAAGATATTGCTGATATCTTTTACGGGGCCAACTTAATTGCCTTAAAGAAAAAAGATGGTGGTATTCGCCCTATAGCTGTTGGCTCCACCTTTCGCCGTTTAGCATCCAAAATTTGTTGTCAACACATTTTACCGACAGTTTCAGCTGAATTCCAACCGGTTCAGCTTGGTTTTGGTGTCAAGGGAGGTTGTGAAGCAGCTGTGCACGCTCTTCGCACCTTCCTGTCGCTCGACGCAGCGGAGGTGGTGCTGAAGGTGGATGTCAAGAACGCCTTCAACTCCGTAGATAGAGGTGCCTTGCTATCAGTAATTCAACAAAAAATTCCTTCTATTTATAACTATCTTTGGCAATGTTACAGCAAACCTACTAAATTAATTTTCAAAAACAGCCTTTTGTATTCATCAGTTGGCTGCCAGCAAGGCGATCCTCTTGGGCCCGCTATTTTTAGTTTGGCTATACAACCCATTATTGATTCGCTAAATTCTAAATTTAATGTATGGTACCTTGACGACGGAACTATCGCTGGCGATATTTCAACGGTTCTCTCAGATTTTCACGTCATTATCGATAAATTCAAAAGTATTGGCCTTGATTTAAATTTTCCAAAATGTGAGCTATTTATTCCAGAATCAAAATTTTCACCTGAACAGTTAAAACATATTGTCACAAAATTTTCGGCTTTAGCTCCTAATATCAAAATTCTTGATAATAAATCACTCCGTCTCTTAGGTTCCCCGATTTTTGATGATGCTATTCCTATTTTTATTAATGAACAAATTTTTAAATTCCAGCATTCCTCCGAAAAAATGTTGAAAATTAACCCGCACATGGCTTTATATTTAATTCGTTTTTGTGCGTTCGCCCCAAAATTTATATATTTTTTACGAAGCACTCATTTTTGGCTTTTTCCAGGACAGCTGGCAATTATTGACAATTCGCTCAGAGAGACACTCTCCAAAATTTTAAACTGTTCATTTTCAGATAACGCTTGGAAGCAGGCCTCTCTCCCTGTTCGTTTCGGAGGTCTAGGTACTCGTCATATTTCCCATATTGCCCTTCCCGCTTTTCTATCTTCTGCATATGGTACAGCCGAGCTCTTTAGTAAAATACTATGCCCGTCTTTGGGTGTAGTGGAGTTGGCTCACCTTGCAGAGGCTAGAAACGCTTGGTCTAGGGCATGCCCGGGAGTGGATCCACCAACCTCTCTATCTTCTCAGAGACAGTGGGACGAGCCGCTCTGTTTGCGTTTTCAGAGTGATCTTTTAGCTTCTTCTGAAAACGCCACTGAGCGTGCTCGACTACTAGCGGTCTTTCAGGCAGAGTCTGGCTACTGGCTGCAAGCTTTACCTTCAGCCAGTATCGGGACTTTGCTTGACAAGAGCACTCTGTCTCTGGCAATATCGCTTCGACTTGGCGTCAAGACGAATCATCCCCACCGTTGTCGTTGCGGTGCTCGCGTCGGTGAGTTGGGTCACCATGGTCTTTCATGCCAAATGAGCGCTGGCCGAGTCTCCCGCCACGCCTGCATCAATGACGTCATCCGCAGAGCTCTTGTCGCAGTCAACGTGCCAGCGGTCCTTGAGCCTAGCGGCATCTTTCGTGACGATGGCAAGAGACCTGACGGAATGACGCTCATTCCGTGGAAGCAGGGTCGCCCTCTTGTGTGGGACGCAACTTGCGCGGATACGCTTGCTCCGTGCCACACAGAGAGCACCTCCCTTGCTGCGGGTGCGGCGGCGGACTCTGCTGAATGCTCTAAACGGCGCAAATATTCAGCTCTCAATGAGAACTATATATTTGTGCCGTTTGGTGTTGAGACCATGGGCCCATGGGGTCCAAGTGCTCGTTCCTTTTTTAGGGAAATATCAAAGAGACTCACCGAAGTTACTGGTGATCAAAAGGCTGGCAGCTATCTTGGTCAACGGATCAGCCTTGCCATTCAACGTGGCAATGCTGCCAGCCTATTGGGCACCATCCCTGACGGCGGTGATGGGGGTGACTTATTTTTTATTTTGTAAATAGGATGTTATTTATAAATAGGTTTAGGAAATTTGTATTTAAATATTGTTTATTTCTGTACATATATAATTAAAAATTGCTGTTTTAGTATATATTATATTATATATAATTTTTTCTAGTTATATTTTCTTTAGATTTAAACATCAAGAAGTTACATGCTTTAAAATAATAAAAATTATAGTATTATATTGAATAAAAATATAGGGACAAAATAGATTTTGTAATATTTTACAAATCATTAGAGCTTGAAAAGGATTATACAATATTAATTGGCACTACAAGAACTTAAAACGAATCATCTTAACAGTTACTCCAAGATCTAAACAGATGCATTAAGATTGAAACTCGATTCCGAAGTGAAATAAAACTTTGATAGAATGCTTAAGTGAGTAGGTAGATAATTGATCATTTTAAATATACGAGTATAAATAAACATCTCATGCCAGACGTTGCAGATCATCAATCAATGAACGTAATTGAGATACTCGTACAAACCGACTCCATCGATAACGAACCCAGAAATTTGCGGTTTTTTACGATTGCGTTGGGTCGTGACTACATGTTTATAGTAAGTTCTATGTTATTAATTGGACTGAGCAAACAGAGCTTTTATTAATTACCAGTGTAAATATTCCTTCAGTGGAATTAATATCCACCATTAGAGAGAGAGAGAGAAATAATCCTTTATTAATATCCATCATTAGAGAGAGAGAGAGAGTTACTTAGAAACGTGAATAAATAAATTTAAAAACAAATTAAACATTTTTCAAGATATTTAAAGAACACAATGAGTTGAAAACGAGAAAGGATAGAAAGGGGTGTGGAAATTTGTGTCCCTGGGGATTTTGCTAAAATGAGAAATACTACTATTCTTGTGCGATGCTAAAAAAACCCTACGTGTCCGAGTCGTTAGAAATCGGTCAAGTACAAGACAGATTGGTAAGTTTTTAAATTATTTAATTTTAAAAATCATATTGGTTCCAGATAAGTTGGTCTATAATGCTACTAACACTGAGGCCGTGGGCGCTGATAGCCTCCCGTGTGGTCGCCGGGTTCGCATGCGCTACCTGCTATGTCGTCACACCACTATACTTAAAAGAGGTATTTCTTTAGATTGATGTATATTTTCTTTAGATTTAAACATCAAGCAGTTACATGCTTTACAAACACACAAAATTATAACTATAATTGCTATTTCTTCTTTCAAATGTTTAATACTTGTAAAAGTATTCATTTGACATTGTAGGTTACCTATAATGCGAAGAGATGGCGCTGCCTTGCAGCTTAAGAATGACTAGAGGAATTTCGACGCGGTCCGTGAGAGCCGCGGTAGCATAATTAATTGGTCAGTGCATTCGCCCGATTGCGTAGGGTGCGGGTTCGAGTCCCGTCTGCTGCCTGGTCCGCGTGGAATTTTTTTTAGTTATATTTTCTTTAGATTTAAAAGAGGTATTTATTTTCACAAAACTCTTTATTCATAAATACCATCATCAGCCTATTAATGTCCCCAATGCTGGTGTGCAGGCCTTCCCTATGGATGAAATAGGGAGATTGGGCCATGACATGACTGCAGATACAGCCGGGATCAACGACTTAAGGTGCTTTCCGAAGCACGGAGGAGCTCGAGATAGTAAATTTTCGATTGCCCATCCAATGACCGACCACTGTGAAAGTTGCTAAACGTCAACGTTCGCAGCGGAACTACTAGCGGCATCGAGCTCATCTAATTCCCAAATATAGGTAAACTCTTTTTATCAGCACCTCATCAGATACTTGTACCATAGGGAAATCTACCTCTACTACGCAACTTGGATCATAATTCATAGTAATCGACTTTCAAAAGGATAACGATCTCTCATTTTATGTGTGAATTACCGATTGCGATGATTCAAAAGTGAATTATTTATCATATCAGGATTATTAAGAAGTTTGCTAATTTTTATTTTTTAATAAAATAATTATTTATCTTCACTTTAAACACAATCAATATTTTGATTAGTCATGGCACATCAATGAATTTAAAATATCAAATTTAGATCTGAACTAGAGATTTTATTTTCATGTAACTTAGATTATTTTAGGAAATGAGATTCAACAATGAACCTCTATTAAACTATTGTATTGTATGACGAAATTAGTCCGTATTGAAGGTCATTAGGATTTATTGCTGCAGGTATCTGCTCAGATTTTTGAATATCGTGATTTGGTTCCAGATTGCGTCAGATAAAGTCCGCGGGGCGCTCGGCTCCCTGTTCATCCTAGCCCAGAACCTGGGCTACCTGCTCATCTACCTCAGCGGAGACCTGCTGCCTTTTGCAGCAGTCATGTGGATGTGCACAGCTGTGCCGGTACTGCATCTACTCGCATTCCTTCTGATGCCTGAGACGCCAGTGTTCTTGATCAAACAGGGCAAACTTAAGGTGAGAAAACGGTGAAACTGATTTCTTTATCATCATCATCATCATCATCAGACTATTAATGTCCCCACTGCTGGGGCACAGGCCTTTCTTTATAAAGCCACTTAATGGTTTTACTATAAACCCATCAAGTATATAATAAAACTATCAAAAAGTTATATAAGGAGGCCTTTGTGGCGGGATCAGGAAGCGTCACTTTAGTAGTTTTGTTTTTCTTGTTAAAAATTGTGTTGTGGCGGATGTTAGTGTCTAATAATGGTGGATTATTAACCACTAAGTGTTCGGGAACATGCACAAGTGTTGACAAGTGAAACAAAATAGCGGAAAGTGTCTTTCGACGTTCCCTCAAGAAGTCCACGGGGAGGTTCCAGTAAATCCCCACACTTTTACTGAAACATAGGGAAAGGGGGATTGACTTGACTGTCACATACTTTGACTTGATTTATTTATTTGGCCACGAGTGCCATAGTATTTTTAAACATTTTAACACTTGACATTGGCTAAATGCACAAGCCGTGCGAAGCCATATAGAAAAAAAAAGTTATATAAGGGTCGACCACGCAAGGCTACCTGTGCATTTACATCAGCGGAGATCTTGATTAATGTGACTGTGTCTTGCTGTACTAGCCACTGAACACAGAAAGAGGTTAGAAGGGTCTTGTGGGCGGGGCAGGCGCACAGTATTGTGAGCAAATGCTCATAACTTGACCAAAACTTTGATCTGATTGTGTGGTTGTTTGAAGTCGCGTCGTTTGATTGGCTATCGAGTCAGCGACAACGGTTCCCGTACAAACGGTTTATAATCACCCTTCTAAACTCTTTCTGTATTCTGTGCTACTTCCACTGCACCTACTCTCCTTTCTGCTGCTGCTTGAGACGCCAGTGTTCTTGATCAAGCAGTGCAAACTTAAGGTGGAACTGCTTTTTTAAACATATCACAAAGGTCTAAGCATTATCGTGTATTTAGCTAATTGATTCCCACAATTTGCTGAATCTGTTGTACAAAATGTAAGTTAGTGGTTCACTGATTTTCAAGTAATAAGTTTAAATTTGCCGCATAAAAAATCTCAGCTTACATAACTTTTACCAGGGAAAATGTTACAAAAATTATGGCGAGTAGATATTTGTAATTTAATGTTTTAAGGACAGTTTACGGAGCATTAATAGAAATAGTCCTTTTATTTTTAAAAGTTAACAGACTTTTGTCAAGGAAAGGTTACTGTAATTTTTTTGCCCAGTTTGACATAGGAGCATGACATCATCCATAAGTAGATGAAAAACCCCTTTTATTTCGACTCGATATATAAGGAAACAAGTATCTCTAAGTTTTGAGTTTCCTCTAACCACTAAAAAAGTGGTACCACCAAATGTTACATACAGCGTAGGACATTCGCTGGCTACAATTTTACATCGGTGGAACCTTAGTTTGGCAATAAAAAGAACGACATTCCTTCAGTACCTTGCGAAACCGAAAATATCCCCCGCACCGTTGCCTACTCAGCCCCAACCGCTACCCCTTGGAGCCCTGCCCCTCTAGCATGAGCACCGAGATATGATATATAACGCGATTTTATCACGCTCAATTGTCAAATTACTTGCCGCCCTAATAAGGTATTTGACAGTATTAAAAATAAAGTGCCAATTGTTAGCATCTGTGTTTAGAATGAATATTAGCTGGGGTTTTTACTATTTGTACAAAAAAATATTCATAATTTGACTAAAAACCCACGAAAAAGATAATAGTTTTCTTATCTATTGCCACGTGACCTAAAACGCTTGGGATTGGCGGAGCCTAAAATGACGTCAAACGCAAGTAAACTTCCGGTTAAAGTGACATTACATTGTATCGTATGACGTTTTAATAACAGTCGTGTGAAAAACGTTTTCGCGGCAACTTCAAAATGGAGTTTTTGATTTGGTTATTCTTACTGAAATACGCAACAGGATGATGAATATCCACCTTTTACGGACTCCATAAACATTAGTCAATAACGTGAGATCGTTGCCCAAAACTTGTCAAATACCCTATTCGAAGAAACACAATACATATGATTTACCTCTCTTCTTGAACTTTAGATTGTAGTAACAGAATATATTAGCACAGATAGTATAGCAGTTATATCTATCTATTCTGGTACTCTTATTATACATTAAATGAATAATTAAGTGATTTTTTTTGGTTTGGTTGGTGGTTTTTTTTCTAGTAAACTTTTAACAACTAATAATGTTGAAATTTAAATTATTATTTATCTCCTTAACTTTATGAATAAGATTCAAATAATCTATTATATTGTTTGAAAATGATGATGTGATTTTTTTATTATTTTATATTACGCTCAATGAACGGAATAATTGTACATGACAAGTTTTACTCAACATGTCAATTAATTTGCACGACCCATTTCCATTGTATAAGAATATAGGACGCTTTTTCTCTCTGTATCACCATTTGTTACCATATACTGCAAATAAAGATGATTATAATCTACGCTGTTACTACAATTTAAATTCACTTATATACATAACCTCAAGGTGTAGCTTAAGAGTAAAAGTACACTAAGAAACGCATCTCGACGACGCCACTTTGACATTGGTTTGGTGTAAGTGTACTTAGGTCCCCCCAAGCCAGTAATGCAGTAGTTAAATAAATAAAACTAGATTCCGGAACGTATAGACAATTTATTTCGAAATTATTTAAACCCTATATATTTCAATTGAACTAAACCATACCATGAGTACAAATTTATACAGCTCCATGTATGAGACAAAGGGAGAAAGTATTTAATATAAGGTACCACATTGGACAGTAAGTATAAATGTTGATCCGGTTATACATTTCATAATAATCAATACAGGTAGGGTACCCATTAGAAATCATTTTATACCTACTGTTGTCACAGTCCTACTTAATTGTGGGAAGCAATTCTTTTATTTGCTATGTGAAAATATCTTTTATTGTTTTATTGTTACTTTTCTCATGAAAGGCAAAGGACAAATTAACATTTAAGTTTAATTTAAGCCCTTTAAGGCTCCGTTTTCACAAGACTATTATGCCCTTTTAGAAAGTGTCTTATAGGAGTTGGTATGCGTGAATATTTACGCACACACTTTATGAAATACCTAAGTAAAAAACGCGTGTGTTGACAAGCATTATAAATTGACATTTCTGAGCGTAGCCGTTAATGTCATAAGTGTTACTTGATGCATTTCATAACAGGGTCAAAGAACAAACGCAAAGCGAAGACAATAACCTATTAAAATAGTCAGTTTATTGAAGTCATTGGCCGTATTTTTGCTGGACAACAGCATTGTCAAGTCCACGTCGACGGAAATAAATTAACATTGTCATGATCTTATTTATTAGTAAAAAATAGAGCTAAATCTGATAGCCGAATAGTTGAGCAAAAAGGCATCTACCAATACGCACTGAAATTTATTTAATTATATTTAATATATATTCCACTTAGTGGAAAATTAGGTACTAGTCTTCTAGTTCCCATGTGATACCATAGTCTTCAAAGTTGTTTTTACACAATGAAATCCCCGATTGGCGTCGCCGGCTATGGCAACATTTACACGAAACATGTAAAATCATATACATACCTACCAAATATTCAATTTAAAAATAATGACAAAGCAATAAAAAAATAAGAATTAAGTAATTCGGTACGCAGTGTTTGTCTCTGTTAATGAACAACAAGTATTTACAAAAGTAATTTGTTACAAATGGAAACAAAACGCTGCGTAAAAAAAGTACAAGTTTTTGTTTTTTATTCGCTCACTAAAAAGGCGGCATGCATATATATCTTCGTGCTCTTAGACGGACTTTAACTTTAAGATAACATAATATTTTTATTATAGGAAGCCCGCGAAGCATTGGCTTGGCTGAGGAACACCACAATTGACGACAAGAACTTGGAAGAAGCGATCAAAGAACTGGAAAGGGAGGAAGAATACACCAAATCTATGAAGCAAGCCAACTTCAAAAGCTTAGGTAAATTACGAGACAATCATCACCTTCATCAGCCTTCTAATTGTGCACAGAGATCATTATATTAACAATACCAGTGGGTGCCCGCGAATTCGTCTGCGAGAAAACAATATATACCACACAAACTTCCACCCCCCTTTTCACCCCCTAAAAAGCTGATTTCTATGTTAAAACTATGCTATGTCATTTCCCAAAACTCATACTACCTTTGTACCAAATTTCATTAACATTGGTTCAGCGGTTTCAGCGTGCAGAACTAATAACAGATAAACACATTTTCGCATTTTGCACACATTTCGATAAGACTAGTAAGTAACTAAGTATGGATTAACGCCAGGTAAGTTCAGTTTTTTAGTTTTCAGGGCGGTTTCCGCAGTTAGTCCTGATTATTGGACCATTGTACGTGTCTCGAAATATTCCCGTTCACTCCATCCAGCCTAAGTTAGTCCAGAAAAGAGCAGCCTTGGGAGACTGCTTCAGGCTTCTGAAAGCGATGCTGGCGACTGGAGAAATCGCACCCGTTGGTCTTATGCAAACAAAAGCGCATCAACCAGAACTGTGAAACCGCCATATTTATGCATTCATGATTTAAGCAGGGTTTATTATAAGGTGAATGAAACCCAAGAGAGAGCAAGCATTATTGCTTCTTAGCATGTTTCGAAACCATGCATCATATTTTATATGACATCTTCTTACTGGTGATTTAAACGATATCCCAGAATCGCCATATGCGGTCTCACAAAAAAATCCATACATCTTTTGCAAACAGGTTTATGACTGGGTGATATCTCGTTTTATCTTCATGTAAGATGATTTTATTTATGTGAAGTGTCGAGTATGCATTGTCGGTCGGACATTCAATGAACCCTTACATAAAAATCCCTCATGCGGACTGGAAAGTTTAAAGAAACAAACAAGATGTCTGTACTTACTGTGTACACGTTTCGCAATTCATATCCGACTAAGTTACTGTTATATTAATTCAGAATGTATTGATAAAAATAATATCTTTCTTCCTTCTTTTTTCATTTCTGGAAAATTTACCCCTTCCTTAACCACCGGGAGAGGCGCGAACAGGGTAACTGATGACTCCTCTCCACTCTTTTTCCCCAGCCAGGGGGTCAATCGCCTAACGAAATTGTTCTGGCTATCGCTATCGCTTACGATTTCAATTTGTTATTTGGTTTGACCAAAACGGATGCAGCCAAGGGGCCAGTAGCCAATCAAAATTTTTCCCTTCTGACAAAGTAGGTCCACTGCAGATACCCAATTGCGCATATAAAAAAGTGTACAAGATTTGGCAGTGTATTATGTCATTGTTTATTTGAACTTAGTTTTGTTTTTTATTTAATATGCCTAACAGGCGGGTCGTTACGTTCCCTTAAATATGGTTGAGCGAAGCGATAGCTGGTTCATGCGTCATGCTCGTGAACGGGTGCTGCCAGCGGAGATGAGTCTACCCTAACTACTTTGATATTTAAGATGTAAATGTATAATAGAGTTGTAATACAAATAGAGTTATTTATAATAGGTGTAACTAAACCTATTATAAATAACTCTATTTGTATTTATACTGTGTGACACAGCAATCAAAATGCAGGTGAACAATTAATGTATAATATCATATTATGTAATGAAAGGTGACTACATGAATCATCTCTGAAGTAATTTTTCAACTTGACGACTTCCAGTTGCCAGTTCTTCTCAGTACAAGGTCTCCCGCCGTAGATTTACAAACCGATGGCGTAGCTTTTAGACATTCATATGTCCTTGTAACAGCCTAAACTGAATAAATGATTTTGATTATGATTATTATAGTACATTCCCCACCGCAAAATATACCAGAACCATTTAAATAAATAGATGTTGCTCTGGCTAATCCCCTTCGGATTGCGTCCGTATTACTGAATGCATGGAACATTGTACTGAGACAAAAAATACTGTTTATTTACAGTGCAAGACAAGACGAGGTTCAAAGCGTTCCGAATTGCGGTAAACGTGATGCTCTCCCAAGAGACGTGCGGGTACCTGGTGGTGTTGACTTATGCTGGCTCCATCTTCGAGAAGGCATCGGACTCCATCAACCTGAAATTGAGTCCGAACAAGCAGACCATAGTAGTGGGAACTCTGCAACTGCTAGGGTCCATCGTAGCTAGTTGCATCGTGGAGAAGACGGGACGGAAGGTAAGAGAAGCTGGTTTTATAGAGCAAAAATCATCTAGTCGTCTAATTGTGTTAAGCAAGTGCTAGATTTATAAACCTAATGAAAAATTTTACTATAATAAAACCACTCGGTCTGTCACCTGTTCTGGCCCGAGTCCTTAGATTTTACTAAAACTTTTCTTAAGCTTAGTTTTGGCAAAGTAGAGTCCAGTGGCAAATTTAGCTTTTGCAGCAGAGATTAACGCTAGCCTAATAATGTCCTCACTGCTGGGGCACAGGCCTTCCCTATGGATGAAATAGGGAGATTGGGCCCAGTGTGGATTGGCGGGTGCTAACGACTGTAGATGCAGCCGGGACCAACGGCTTAACGTGCCTTCCGAAGCACGGAGAAACTCGAGATAGAATATTTTTGGTCACCCATCCAATGACCAACCACTGCGAAAGTTGCTCAACTTCAACGATCGCAGCCGAACGCGCTAACCACCTGCGCCATCGAGCTCCTCCTATTATATATCTAGAGTGATATCGTTGACTGCTAGTCCATTCTCTTTGTGTATGGTGTAGCTAAAGGTTCACTCATCACTTGTTTGGTATTAGTGGTTGCTGGCGGTCACGTCGCTGGTGACTGGTCTTTCGATGTTGACACTGGGCGGGTGGTTCCTGGTGACGGGCGCGGGCGCGTGGATGCCGGGCTGGCTGCCGGTGCTGGCGATGTGCACCTGTATCTTCGCAGACGCTGCTGGGTACCAGCCAGTGCCTTACGTCATCATGTCCGAGCTGTTCTCATTTCAAGTAAGTACCTTTTTTATCACTAATGCTCTTAAAAGGTAGTGAGATTCAAACTTAATGGCGGCTGTAAAGTTATCGCTAGTCGCTGCGCAGTAAAAAAACCTAAGAGCTTTGATGTTCCATTGAACTGTAACTTGCGCATTCTTGATTTTATTGCTAACTTCACAGCGCTTATTAAGCTTCTACGCGCTACAGCTAATATAAGTACTAGCTATAGCGCGAGTAACACATTATGGGTTTAGATGAGACTTATCGCCAGAAATAATATACTAATATCAAGTTTATTGTTGATGAGTTATTTATCAGAAACAAAATCATTTATTCAGTTTAGGCTGTTACAAGCACTCATGAATGTCTAGAAGCTACGCCATCAGTTCGTAAATCTACAGCGGGAGACCTCATACTGAGAAGAACCGGCAAGAAACTCGGCGAGGGCTGTTTTTTCCCCCCCTGTTTTATTATTTACAGATTCGTCAAGTTGAAAAATTACTACATCAAACCCCATCTACCGCCGTTAAGCGTTGTGCACGCACAGGACACGGGACATAGGAGATAATCATAAAATTTAGTTCAACCCTTCCGATATCTAGCTCATGCTAAAGTTCCTCAACTACCATAATCGTAATATAAGGAACTGAAAGAAGATGATCCTAAATTAATCCATACATGTATGAATTGAAACCAAAGTTAAGACTGTAATTAATCCATGAAAAATAATTTTATTAAAGTTACTAAAATTATTTTATGTAATTAGATGTTTTACTGCACTAGCAAAAATCACATTTACTTTATCCTCCCGATTACATTTTCCATGAAAAAATCAATTTAAGTAAATTCACTAAAATTATTTTATATAATTAGATATTTTACTCCACTAGCAAAAATCACATTGACTTTGTCCTCCCGATCACATTTTCCATGAAAAAAACAATTTAAGTAAATTTACTATAATTATTTTATATAATTAGATATTTTACTCCACTAGCAAAAATCACATTGACTTTGTCCTCCCGATCACATTTTCCATGAAAAAAACAATTTAAGTAAATTTACTATAATTATTTTATATAATTAGATATTTTACTCCACTAGCAAAAATCACATTGACTTTGTCCTCCCGATCACATTTTCCATGAAAAAAACAATTTAAGTAAATTTACTATAATTATTTTATATAATTAGATATTTTACTCCACTAGCAAAAATCACATTTACTTCTCCCGATCATATTTTTACAATTTCCGTCTTTTTCTTCCAGTATCGTGGAGTCGCAACCTCGCTCATCATATCAGGGACAGCGCTTAGCGATTTCGCACAAACAAAGGCTTACGATCCTCTCTTGAAACTACTGGGAATTCATTGGGTCTTCATCATATTCTCCATCATTTGCTTCCTGGGGACCTTTTACACCATCATGTGGGTCCCAGAGACAAAGGGGAGGACGGTCGAGGAGATCTACGCCATTTTGGAAGGAAAGAAAGAGATAGAAGACGAGGAGGCTGGAAAGGAAGTCAGTAGATTATGAGGCTTAATGGTGAATATCATCTTATGTTAAGTTAAGAACTTTAGACAATGTCGCGGAAGTGATGTATAATAGTATGACCTAACTTAAATACTAAAGTAATTTGACCTTTTGTGTGGTCTGGAGGACGTATAAGGAAAAATATTGGAACCAATGTTATGGACACGATGACGAAAATTGTAACATGAAATATATGGTTGTTCGTGCGCGTGTGCGTTCAAAACCTTCTGAAAACTATTGAAAAATGTTGTCTGTATTAACTGGAGATCAATCGATTAAGATCATTGATTTAGTTCAGAAATTCATTTACGTTTTATATCGCTTAGAAAATCCATTCTGTTTTGGATAACATTCTATGGATCAAATCTTGGATCCTAGATTAAGTACTTATAAATACATTCCAAAGCAGTACCATATAGTTTTTCGAAGCAGTACAAAATACCTAATGTGGTGAAGTCATTAAATGGGGTAATAGCATTTTAAAATGCAACTGCAAATAAAATGATCGTGTAAAAGAACATTGAAAGTTATACGTATTTAGCTGATAAATACATAATGTTCTGTCCTACGGTAGTGGCATCGATTTCCATCAAGAACCAATTATCGACATTTTCTCCGTGATCAATGAAAATAGGAGTAGAAAACCGATCTTTAAATATGACGACCTCCGAGTTCGAATCCCGATGAGGGCAGATGTTTGTGTGATGAATACGAGCATTTGTACCCCTATCATTGTGTTTAATGTGTCTTTCTTTAAAAATATACTTATATATATATATATATATATATATATATATATATCAGTATATGCATTCTATCCGTTACCCTAGTATCCCATAACACAAGCCTACAGTGCTTACTTTAGAGCTAGGCTAATTGGTGTGAGAAATATAAAAAAAATATGATAACATCACTGAAAAAAATGTCGATCATGGGTTCTTGTCGGTTCTTGTATTACACATTGGAGCCACTGCTTTAATCAAATTATAGTTATTTATCATACTAATGCGGTAAGTTGTTTATTACAAACGAGTAGACGAATGTAAGCCCGAGACGACATCGAACGTTTTTCAACACATTTTCGAGAAAACTGTATAATTTTTAATTAATGAAGCAAACTTTTTCTAAGACGTAAATGACGCGCATTTCCACGTACTTATTCCTACTTATTGGCGAAAATTAGAACTACATCTTTCGGCTCTTTTTGCTTTGTTTTAGTATTAAAGTGAGCCAAAACGTGTAGACAAAAGCGCTTCTAAGGAGGTTTGATTTAAATTTACCGGAGCAAGCGGTAAAATATTACTGCACGCTCTGTTGTATGGTACGTAATTTTGAACTTTCAAACAATGCATACAATGTTCGAAAGTGCATTTTTTGCAAATGTGTTGAAAATAAATTTTAAATTTACCTGCGTATGTTTTGTGGTATAACTACTGTTTCTCTTGTGTTACGCCAACTTACTTACTAATGTAAAATAAAAGGTTCCTTTACTTACTTACGTAACTACATTAATTTCTTTTCTCAATTCTCTTTCTAAAATATAAACTAAACTTTATTACTTTACTGAACTTAACTACGCTTAATATTAAGATTTATTGTTGTTTAATATAAACGGGCGATTCATTTCCCTTTATGTAGATATTTCTGCCAACAAAATAACTGCTTTCTAGATTTGTGGACTGTTATATTTATTTATAATTTTTTTCTTAATATAATGTAATTTTTCCAACTCCTAGACGACTAGGAATTGTTACAGCAATTCAAGAAAAATGTAATAAAAAATTACAGATACCAGTTTGCACAAAATTAATGGATTAACCAAATCATTAAGTGTAAAATCGAAGCTTTAAACGTTATTAGGTACTGCTGTGACATACTTAGGCCTGTATTATAGAAAGATTCTCAGTGATTGATCTAGTCTTGAGCATAGTTAGAAAGGGATGTCGCTATATAAAGCACATAGCGATATCCCTTTCTATCTGTACTCTAGTAAAGATCAACACTTAGTTGTCATTCTGTAATACGGGCCTTAGTCTTAACCTATCGACATAATCGTATATTTTTTTTAATATTATATAAACTTTTATCACTTTTTCTTTTTAAAATCCATTTAGTGTATTTACATTGTGATAAAGATTGATATTAAAAACGTGATGTGATACGTGTTGTTTTAATGTATAATGTACCGTCTCATTCCATTGTGATATTATGACATGTTTAATTATGACGAATTATTAGCAAATAAAGTAAGAATAAAATAATTTATTACAATACAATATTGTGATTTTATTTAACCATTTTAACTGGAAACCGTACAATATGTAATACGCCAGCTTATTTTTTTTTCTTTACAGCAAATAAAGTCTTGCCGTTAACATCAAGCCACTCTAACATACACGTAGTAAGCAACCCAAGTAAAAGTATGCAATTGTTGGTTACTCAGACATGCCATGTCCGTTAATATCCTAATTCACAGTGGTTGGTTAAAATCAAAATAATCTGCTTGATTTATATGAAATTTAATGTTACCTGATGATTTAATAAATCTAATTTTTGCGCAAATCCTCGGGAATTTCACACGCGAGCCGAGAGAGCGCTGCCAAAAAAAATCGTTAAAAGTAAGTTTGAGCAATATCATGTCATGTCTAATTATCTGAGATTTTTCAAAATTCGTAGGATTCTCGCGAAAATTTATTGTCAAATTGGTAGGAAATTAGGTTCTGCTTTACATGGTGAGGATGGCTTGAGAGTTGAGAGGCACATTCTTCTGCGATAATTATCAGCTATTTTGTAATCGGTACCACATGTTGGAATCTTACTTACTTTCAACATCTGGTGCCTAGAATGGTTCAAATTGAATAAAAAAAATCATTGATTTGAAAAATATTGGGTTGACTTAAAAAAAAGCTATAAAGCATTAACGTGAGGAGCTCGATAGCGCAAGTGGTTAGTTCTGGAAATCATACTCACCAAGTCACCAACGGAAACATGCTGTGTTTCCGCCGGAATATAGATAATTTTATTTTACTACTAGAGGTCCGCCCTCGCTTCGCTTCGGTGCAGAGCTGTAGTGTAGACTAAAATGACTCTTAATATAATTATAAAAAAACTGAAAATGGTACATTTGCCTTTTCCAAACTTATATTGACATCACGTCACTTAATTGGGTACTTAATTCTATTATATGTAATTGAATTTCGGGGTAATTTGTAGGGGAGGGGGAGGGGGGCTCCCCCCCTCGCACTACACTCGACTCTTCAGGCGAAGGGACAGCAGAACTCGCGGCCGAAGGCTTTGAGGATGCCATGGTAGTCAGACGATGTTAATATCAACAGGAGTACGAAAAAGCTCTCAACTGCGACGAACACAAACACTGACTGACAGATCTCATTAATGGCGGTAAATTGTCACATTTTGACAATAGTACCAACATAATAAACTTATATTTACCATAGACAACGAGAAACATGTTATTTATGCATAAAAAAATGGCAGCACTGATCAAAATCGCTGTCAAAATTGACTCATAACCTACAAAAATATTAATTTCAATATTTTTTTTCTCGAGTTCCATTCGTTTCCGCTTAAAAACTCGTGTGATATCGTGTACGTGTTTTAATAGTTAATACTTTGCATGACAAAGATTTCAGCTTGCAACTCAATTACATATAATGGAAAGCTGACCCTTAATTGTTTTGCCTTCCTGGAACCTCTCCACTAACATTTGAAATTTATGGTATGGTATTAAAGTTCAAATCGACTTTTAAGTATTATTACGAGTCGTTTGTATGGGAGCATAGAAAAGTGTTGTTTGTGGACTTTTTCAGGCATTTTTTAAATATTTCTCTGCGTAAGAACCAACCTCGTACTTCAAGGAATATTCTAAAAAAAGAATTATCGAAATCACTTGGCAACACATTCAGGTGTTGGTGGTGTGTCAACACATGTAGGTGGTGGTTACGTCCCGAGGCTGATTGCTTCTTCAGTAACCTGACTTTTTTTTTAATTTTTACTTTGTATTTTTATAGTTATATCAGTGAACAACGATTAATATGAATTATTTTACCCTATAGCATTATTATAAATATCACACTAATATTATAAAGGCGGAAGTTTGTGATTGTGTAAGTGTGTATGTTTTTATACTTCTTCACGTCTAAACGTCGGGAGCGATTTAAAATAAAATTTGTTATGGAGTTAGCTGACCTCCTGGATTAACACATAGGCTACGTTTTACTGCGGGAAAATATCCCTAATAAACCGCGGGTAACACCGCGGGGCACAGCTAGTTATGTACTATAAATAGGAGTTAATAGTCAAAATTCATACAACTAGTACCTACTCTATGTACGCGACAATGTATGAAGCGTAACATACTGTAACAAAGTTTTTTATTATTTTCAGGTTCTATTTGCATTACGATATAAACAATTCAATAATATTTTCTCATTTCACAATGGTGCTAAAGCAATACGTACTTAGATCGATTCGTTCCTTTATCGATCGCGTTTAATAAAAATATTGTTTTACAAAATAAGTACATGATGTTATGGACCCATATTACATTGATAACTTTCGCTGGAGTTTTCGCAACTAATTCAGAAAATCTAGAAGATGACAGCAATTTGGGTAAGATTTGGAGGATTTCATATTTAATTGGTGAATATTTAAGAAAGAATGACCATGAATAGCTATAGTTGACCCCTAAAATAAGCCTCTACTGAAAATGTCTAATACAATTATTCTGGTTTAGTGACAGAATTACATTTTATACCTACAATAAGTTACAAGTTACCACGTATCAACATTTAAACAATTACAAGATAAATAATCCTGAATTCGAATATTTTAAATATTGAATTATTATTTCATCAAACCTGGCAATCTATTTTGTAAGAAGAAACTCACATTTCACCTCGCAATCCGCGGTGTCAAATTTTAAACACAAACTTTCAAATGACACCGGCAAAAACCACGATGAAATTAGAGTTTGTTCTTACTGAGAAAATCTGCAAGAAGAAATCGTGTTAACACGTAAGTAGGTGTATCTTGCGGTTGTTTGCTAAAATGGAACTTTGTTCATTGCTTTTGAAGGCACCTAACTATTAGTCCCGTCTGCTTCTAAAAAATTTAAATTTTCACTGCACTCCGTTATATCCACAGGGAAAACCAGTGTAGCAAATAATGAGCACAGTAATATGCTCATTATGATGTTAGAAAGAGGTTGATGGTGTTCTGGTTGCCGAATTGCCACAGTAATAAATCAAGGTTATTTCTGTGGTATCAGAAACAACACCACTAAAGTGTTATTTTACAGCAGGCAGGGAGGTGGTTCCCCAGATGGGAACTGGAATTCGTAACTTTCTTAACATTTTTAACACGAAGCTTTCTTTTAAGTAGGGGTGGGTGTTTTTAGAATAACGATGCGCGATAACGATACCAAGTTTGGATGCGCGCATCTGATGCGACTGGATGCCGTTATTGGATGCCGATGCCATCTAGTTTTTGTCAATGGTACTATAGCAACCGTGCCACAAACTTATCTATGCCGGTGGAGATGTCGCTAACGGTGAAAAAATATGTCTTAAAAAGGTTAAATTTAAGGTTGTAGGTCAAATTTTTGCCACTGGCACAGAAAAATTTGTAGCACTGGACTGCGTTCAAAACCTACTCTGAGTAGATTTTTTTTAAAGAATATTTTTGCCAGCATTAAATATTTTCAGTTACATATACCGAAAAGTAAATAAATGGTTTCAAGTCAGAAAAAAATCATAGAATCGAAGAGACACACCCACACAAAACACGCATCTGTCGTAATTCATATCGCATCGTATCCTGTGATACTACCATACTGACATTCACTTGTCATCGATGCGATGCCGGCATCTATGCGCGCATCCGATGCCATTTACTCGTATCTGATACCGATGCAAATATCTAAAAACGCCCATCTCTACTTTTAAGTCAGACTGGCAGTAGATTTAGTAGATGAGCAATAATGTTTTATCTTAAGATCCCGAGTCCTCCATATTTTGTTTAGCCATTAGTACCAGGTACAGCTGCAGGCCTACTAATTAGACGCGGAAGAATCCCTAAACGGGGATCCCGCGGCTTCGCGCTAAGCCGCTTAGAGGGTATTCGCAGGGTTTTTTAGCGGATATCATGCCGTAAAGCACCCGTAAGGGTTACGGGGTCCTCAGTGGGCAGCTACTGCTGGGACTTGTAAGGCTTGCGGGAGCCAGGTGTGAGGTCCGTTCGGCGGTGTACCTCTTAAAGGCGCCGTCGTCTGTAAATAGTATTTTTTGCCTGCGTATAAACAAAAGGCCTATTAAGCAATATAAGATTAAATCAAATTGACCCTGTTAACAAATAAGATTCACTTTCCTTAATCAGACAGCACATACCCAGAAGGACGTCGATACTCGCCCAACAACGGCCTCCGCATCCGGAACGAGTACGGGAGAGGCGTGGAACATAATGGCGTGCTGCGGATCCGTGGTGGCAGCGTGTCTGATACCAGAAACTATCCTTACATGGCCGCCATAATAATAAACGGGCGGCTATGGTGTGCTGGTGCTATTGTAGATATAAACTGGGTTGTCACCGCGGCGCACTGCTTGAATTAGTAAGTACGTTTCAATTATGTTCCCTGCACCGTCAGAGCAGAGGCTCAAGAAACTACTGCTACATAGCTGCCATCATCAGCAATAGCCAGTTGAGAAGCGCTGGTGCTATTCATTTCATTAGGCACACTTACAGCAATTCATGTCATATATTATAAAATTTATAATAACATAAATACACTTACTTATTATATGCTTATAGTCAATATCACTGGGTCGCCGGCCGTCACCATAGTGAGCTGCTTAAATTAGTAAGCATTTTCAATATTATTATTATTTACAGATGGACTCGAAACAGCCCACATTGGCGCACCGTGGGTAATGGTAACCTTTGCTTGCAATCAGTAATCGTTAGCCATTCGTTTGGGTTCAGTTCAGGGAGGAAAATGAAGGTGGCTGAGCTGTCTGTAAAGAATAGTAGCTATTTTTGCAACTGCACTCTTCTTTGCTCACTCACACTAAACATTGAGCGGAGTGGCTTGTTCAAATAGAATAATAAATGAATTAACATTATCCTCATTCATTATAGTGTTGGTTTGAATTTAGTCTGATACTAAAGACCCAGTAAAACTGGTCTTCCATGTCGTCAGCGTCATAAAAAACTACTTCTGTAATGAAAGGAAAAATGCTACAATTGTGAAAATGTATGTCTAAACTAGTGTTGCCAGGTGCCGATTTTCCGGGGTCTGAGGACGCGTTCCGTTTTGTTCCTGATCGGGACGCTAAATATCCCGATTAATTAAAAAATGAAATTTAGGTAATTAATATAATACTATACTTGCACTAGTAGTTTAAAAGGCAATAAATTAAACCCAGACTTAAAACCCCTTGTTTTTTGTTTACTGTCCCGATCTGCAAACCCTAACCCCCCATTTTTTTGACCTCATGTACCGATTTAAAACAAATCGGACCTGGCAACACTAGTCTAAACACATCTTATTCCGTAGTGCCCAATTTCTTTATGTGTGTTTTGTTAAGAAAGGTAGGGCACAGAGGATTTCCCGCTCGCCGGAGCGCCCGATTGGGGAAGAAACCTCCACCTTACAGAAAGCCACACAAAAAAAGCGTCGCGTTTTGTGGTGTCGTTTCTGATGATGAGAAGGGCTCTGCGGGGTTAGGGATTGGGTTCAGGCCAGCAATGTGAGGATGGCTGGAGCAGCACCTTCTGCCGGTGCAGCAGAGCTGAGGTGAGCTCTATCTTCGCAGCTGAGCTCCACTTACTTTTACCATCAGGTATGGTGGGGTAATATGTTGCGCCACGTATGAAAAAAAAACCTTTTACCGTAGCGTCCTCCACGTATCTCCCATGAAGACACTCGGTCAGTTCGTGAAGGTGCGCGTGGGCAGCCACCGGGCGCACGAGGGCGGCACCCTGGTGGACGTGGCGGGCGCTGTCAGACATCCCAAGTTCGAGGAGGAGCCGGTGCCTCATGCGGACGTCGCACTGCTGAAACTGGCGGAGAATTTGGGTGAACTATAAGTCATATGGTCCTATGTTACACAAATATATTCATAGACAAAGATAGTCCACATCATCAGCCTATTATCTCCCCACTGCTGGGGTCAGGCCTTCCCTGTAGATGGAATAGGGAGATTGGGCAGTGACCCACAACGCAGGCCCAGAGCGGATTGCTCACGACTGCAATGCAGCAGGGACCAACGGCTTAGCTTACCTTCGCATGTGCGAGCTCGAGATAGTAAATTTTTGGTCACCCATCCAATGACCGACCACTGCGAAAGTTGCTTAACTTCAAAGATCGCAGCCGAACGCGCTAACCATTTGCGCCATCGAGCTCCTCGGTAGGTAATCTCGTGAAGTAGTAGGTACATGTTTTTAATTGCTGATTATTCGTGCCTTGTACAGTACTGCAGGCAAATTAGTTGTTATGACTGCATTGCTGAAAAATGAATAATATTTGTTTCGTGGGTTTTTACGCATCACTCATTGAATAAGACAAGTTGCAATGGTATAGATGCTTTGATTTATTTATTTATGACGTATCGCATCCTTTTCAGGCATCATAATATTCTGACGAGGCAGCCTGAAAAGATTGCGAAACGTCATAAATAAATAAATCAGTGCGTCTATACCGTTGCAACTTGTTTTATAAAATGAATAATGCTTTTTTTTACAGAATTCAGTAATTTAATAAACCTCATCAAGATATATGAAGGCACTAAGGAGCCGTACGCACAAAGTTTCACCGTAGTCAGCGGGTGGGGTGCCACAAGGGTATGATAAACCATTACAATTATTCTTAAAAACTTAATATTACATTAATGAAATTAATAGCGAAATAGGCAGACACAAGGTTGAGCAGGAGTCAAGATATTATAACAGTATTTTTTTGAGCAGTCGAAGGATTCCCTCCATACAATCATTGCAACATAGCCATTGTAATGAGCAACAACGCCGAAGAAGTAACATATCAGATACGGAGATTTCCTTTTATGACAGCAATATATTATAGGTACCTTGTCTATAATCTTAGACAGTAATGGTCTCGTTTCTAACAGGATTCTCTAAACCTAAAACTAAATTTGACAACAGCGTATCATTGTCATGCTCTATACAGAATGAAAAGGAGAAACTGTTTTTACTATTCGCTTTAAGTTTACAAAGCCCTGCCAGAATCAGGCCCATTTCATAAAGTATTGTTTACCTAGGACTCAGACACAGCATTCCGTGACCACACGCCTGACCTGCTGACGGCGCGCCTGAAGGTGCGCTCGCGCCACTACTGCCTGGATGCGTACCAACTCGTCAACGGGTTCCAGTTCACAGAGGACTTCTTTTGTGCTTCCCTGAGGAACGGCACAAGAGATGTTTGCTTGGTAAGTTTTGTGGCCGCTTTTGGCCCTAGGGTTAAAACGCAGCTTTCGCTAATCTCTCGAAGAGCTCAATGGCGCAAGTGGTTAGCGCGTTCGGCTGCGATCGTTGAAGTTAAGCAACTTTCGCAGTGGTCGGTCACTGAATAGGTGACCAAAAATTTACTATCTCGAGCTCCTCCGTGCTTCGGAAGGCACGTTAAGCCGTTGGTCCCGGCTGCATCTGCAGTCGTTAGCACCCAACAATCCGCACTGGGCCCGCGTGTTGGGTCATGGCCCAATCTCCCTATTCCATCCATAGGGAAGGCCTGTGCCCCAGCAGTGGGGACATTAATAGGCTGATGATGATGATGATGATGACGCTAATCAAGCGTATATATCCTTATTACAAATCCCTTCTTGGTACTATATGTTTTACGTTTGCATGCGCCGTGGTTATCATCACAATCATGCACTGATCCTTACGCTGCCGATATGTCGACGCTATTAGACTGCAGATGCAGCGGCGACCAACCAGCATGCTTTAAGAAGCACGGAGGAGCTCTCTATAGTAAAATTTTATCACCCATCTTGTAACCGGACATTTAAAAAAGTCACTTAGCTTCGACGATGGCATATCGAACGATATATCCTGTCAAGTCGGTCGCTGCAGATATAACATGTTCAAATGGGGACTGCTGCGCGTAATATCAACTCAATGCGTGTGCATGACCGCCCCATAAACTATAGCTTACGTGCTGGCATACACCGAATGCCCTTACTCATGTTCCGTGCGTGATTTGAGGGACTTAATGCCAGAAATATTAAAACCGCTGCTTACAGGGCAGAATCTCTACAAGTGAAACCTCGACACAAGAAAAAGAAGAACAAGCTATATATTTTAGGCGCAACAATTAACCCCACTCCACTGGCCTGAACCCAATCCTCTATCCCCACGGAGCCCTGGAACCTTACTCACTAGCAGAAAAATAACACAACATATACAAGGGTTTAAAGCGCTGGATCGACGAATTAGGGACTGGATGATTGCATGGTTCTACTTGAGTACTTATAATTGGTGAGGAGCTCGATAGAGCACGTGGTTATCGTTGAAGTTAAGCAACTTTCGTTAACCCATCCAATGTGGTTGGTCATTGGATGGGTGACCAACAATTTACAAGCTTGAGCTCCTCCGTGCTTCAAAAGGCACGTTAAGCTGTTGGTCGGGACTGCATCTGCAGTCGTTACCACCCACCAAGCCGTACTGGGCCCACGTGATGGGTCATGGCCCAATATCCATAGGGAAGGCTTGTGCCACAGCAGTGGGGGCATTAATAGGGTGAGGATGATGACCTATAAGTAGTCGCTTATCAGAACGTTGGTGTTAGTTCGACGCAGGCGCTCCGGCTGTGCAGCAGAACCGCCTGATGGGCATCATGAGCTTCGGCCCTGAGCGTTGCGGCCACGAGTTCCAGCCCGCTGTCTTCGTTAAGGCTTTCTACTTCAGGTAAATGGAGAAGCACAATACCTTTTTTACTTAACTGCACCAGAAGGAGTTAGTAGCGACAAACTTCTTGAACAAAACCAGAGATAAATAAACCTGCGCAGTAGATATAGATAGATACTCGTAGATAATGCCTTTATTTTTTTCTTCAACATACATATACATTTACAGACAGAGTAATACAATAAAAAAAAGATACAAGAAATCAGCTATGAAATATCCATATGTATGCTGCAGAAAGCAAAAGGCCAAGGCTCGGCCACGGTAATAATATCATACAGTATTCTATCTTCATACAAACGGTCGGAAAGCGAGTCATACCTACGCCACTCGAGTTCGATGTGCTCTCGGCGTGCACCCAGTCGCGAATGCGCCGCCGCGCCGCAACGACGACTGAACGGTCTGAATTGTTTTTTATGCAGTTAGCCGTGCTTAAACATGCGTTTTGTATTGTAAATATTTGATTTCATTAAGTAGATACCTACATAATTTAGTATGGAAAAGAACAAACGACGATCAATATCGTACAACAGCACAATTGCTGTTTTTGGTTGCTTGAACTCTTCAATAACACACCCAGAGATATCATTTTTCAAATTACCTGAAATATTGGAAAGGTGTCTTACCTTTATAGAATATTTTTTATATACCTATCTACTAGTACGTTATTTTTTTCTAATATTAGGTATTTCGGTTTTTCCATCGGGCAAAATATCTGGAATAATATATAAATAAGTGGTTAGGATGAAAAAAGAGACAAACGAGTAATCTACCTACACTCGCGTTAAAAACAAAACTACATAAATGAATACTGTAGGCTGGCGGCCCTACAGCGTGCCAACTCAGCGCTCGGTGTAGGCATTTATTTTCAAGGACAGGGCGGAGTCACAATACTGTATAGATAATATTACCGTGGCTCGGCTAAACATTTGCCAGTTTTAAGGCAAAATACCGATTTTCAGCAATCATCAGTAGATGTTTTTACACATATATGTAAAATTGATACTGTGCAGGCTTCCTTGTCTATGGTCGAAGCGCGAATCGCTGTATTTCCGATTCATCACTGAGCTACTCTTGACAAGACTTAACGTATTTTATTAATTAACTACCTTTGTAATAGGTATAATACAATTTGACGTTAATACAAGATAAGATACCCTAGCAAGGTACACGTTTGCGTACCGGTTTCCATTCAGTAAAGGTAAGGGAGCCCAAGCCAGGGATTTTGGTGTAGAAAACAGAAAAAAAACCGGCCAAGTGCGAGTCGGACTGGCGCACCGAGGGTTCCGTACAAACTCAATTTAATACCTCTACGCGGTTATGAGAAAAGAGGTAGTAACTTTAAAATTTTCAATAATATTTTTTATTATATGATGTAACTAAAAATTTACGGTTTTTGCAATTTTTCCTTTATCTGTACTATAAGACGTTACTTCGTACCAAATTTCAAGATTCTAAGTTCACGTGAAGTAACCCTGTAGGTTTTGATTCCCGTGCGAGTTTTGAAAATTTGCGGCATAAGCGGCTGTATCTTTTGATTGCTTTGGCTTAGAAGTTTGATTTTTTCACAGCTCCAAGGGACAGTAGATATGAGTATTAGATATGAATTTCAGTTTATTACCTCCACGCGTTCCTGAGAAAAACAGTCTTGACAAACGTACGGCCGGACGGACGGACAGCAAAGTGATCCTATAAGGGTTCCATTTTTTCCTTTTAAGGTACGGAAGTCTAAAAATATTCGAACGCGTCAGACATTGAGAAGGGATACGTGAACCCTCCAGAAGCTCATATTCAAAAGACTGACGCTATTGGTCACGACCAAAAGTCATGGGCGATTGTTAAAAAAATGTTTGCTGCCACGGACGTTCGACCCTATATAACGGGCTAGGTATGGTTCACAAGGTGCAAAGCCCTCCTTCGTTATTCTGCCGTACTTGGGTAAATTCCAATTTCCCAGCAACCCTATCACACATGATAACATTCACAAACACATTTAAAATATACAGTTGAACATCAACAGAGACTTCGTGAAGACGACGATATCGTCGTACAAGACGACCGCGGACCTGATCGAGGCGATGAAGGAGGTGGACCCGATGCTCATGCCCTACATCCGGAGCAGCGCGCGCCCCACGCCCGAGCCGAACGTCTACAACCGCGATGACGTCACGCTACCCGACGAGCTGCACGACTGATGACGTCACGACACCCGACGAACACCGCGACTGTTCCCGCCACGCTATCAGTACCCTTAGTACGAATTTACAATTACGAAAATATGATAGTTTTCGTGAGCTCGCACTCGTACTTAGGATACTGATTTTATTGTTTTCGTTTCAATAGAAATAAACATTGTTTAAATTCTATCATTAAATCATTTGCGTCTTCTTAATTTTTAAGTATATTTGGATACTTTTCACCAAAATGGACATAGAAATATAATTTACAATTAAGAAAACTATGATAGTTTTCGTGAGCTCAAACTCGTACTAAGGGTACAGAAGAATTGTGCGTCTGATTTCGTAGCGCTACCTGATAAAGTACATGACTGATATTCGAGTTTAATTCTTTTTTATTTGTTTTAGCGACCTCTATGGTGGAATGTGATGTATGTATGTCGGTTTTCAAGGTGTTGGCTTCTCTAATCAGGTCTTCTGTTAGAAACTCCGGACCGCGGACCTGATCGAGGCGATGAAGGAAATGGACCATGGATGTCACGTTTCCCGACGAGCTGCACGACTGATGACGACACGCTGCCCAACGAACTCCGCGACTGATACTATCACGTCATCAGAATAACTGCGCGAAAATGTCGTCACGCTACCTGCTACATTAATGAAATGCGACCCGAATGCGTAGTCCTAATTGGCAATGATCGTGCGAGGGCGCGATGCGATCTCATCGTGCGATGAAAATAATGTACGTGTGCTCGTGCGACGGCTCACGAGCTGTATTAATACACCTCTTAAGAATTCTGTATGTTTGAAAACCATCGCACGACAAGAACACATCGTGTCAGCGTACGAACGTTGCCTATTAGGACGTCGCGGAATTGTTTTTCTCAATGTAAATTTCAAATACATTTATTTTATTATAAAAAAAAAACTGTACTCACCTTGTAGCTGACACAGGGGTGAGAACAAAATCGGAAATGACCCGCGGTGGTCCCAAAATCCGGGGTAGTCATGTCTAATTAGTGCGGGGTAGAACGAAGAGTTGTTTTATCTAGTAGGTATGGTAGACGAAGCACGTCCGGCCACCATGGACCACAGTTGAGGAACAGGTGTCTAAGCGTTTGGCGCGTCGACCAGAGAAATCTCAGGATCGTGTTTGAGAACGTTTAATTGGTTGTTTAACAGCTGCAGGGGCGGCGGGGTAGTCCTTTGCGACTGCAGACGGACAGCGATCTTCAAGTTCTACGTAGCAGTGCAGCACACTGCTTTCCACTTACCGAATGCAGCATGTAGGATCATTTATCTTCGTCTGCATGATGTAGGAAGCATAATCTACATCTCTTTTGCACATAGAGTACATTGTTATATCTTTTGCCGTTACAACGGTGCATACTTTGATTAAAATAATATATTTTCCAATTAAAAAATTACTTTATATTCCTCCTGTACAAAACGCCAATTTCATATGTAAGGACCTAATTATTTTGTGGTGACGACGAGCAACTACGGAGCCCTAAACACGCACTTGGCGGTTTTTTTTACATAATAAAACAACCCTATAAGCCTCCACTGTCTGTTTATCCGTCCGTCCGTCAGTCTGTCGTCAGCGGGCTGCTACTTATCAGTAATTCAGCGCAAATGAATGAAGTTCGAAGATATTGAATTGTTACTGAATCTCAATTAAGAGCTCTCTATAATGTGTTCCGCGACATTTTAATCTATATCTATCTATATTATATCACAAATTTAAATGTATTCTGAAAATCGGACGAAACGGATTACCAATCCTACCGGGGACGCTGAAACCCTTATTCAGATTTATTTATTTATATAGATTTATTTTAAACCGTAATAATACAAAACGCGAGAAGCCGATGGCGCAAGTGGTTAGCACGTTCAACTGCGATCGTTGAACTTAAGCAACTTTCGCGGTGGTCGGTCATTGGATGGGTGACCAAATATTACTATCTCGAGCTCCTCCGTGCTTCAAAGGCACGTTAAGCCGTTGGTCCCGGCTGCATCTGCAGTCGTTAGCACCCACCAATTCGCACTGGACCCGCGTGGTGGGTCATGGCCCAAGCTCCCTATTCCATCCATAGGGAAGGCCTGTGCCCCAGCAGTGGGGGCATTAATGGGCTGATGATAATGATGAATCCCAAACGTAATGGATTGTAAAACTGGTAAGCCAATTGAACAGTAGATTGTTTACTAAGAGAGCAAAAAAATGTTTTAAAGGTTTTTTTTATTTAAAAAGCGTTTTTTAAACCCAGGTGCGCGGTACCTTAAGTACGTCGCTCGAGCTTTAAGATAGTGTTGCTCCCGAGATGAATAATCTACTTTTTATGACCGTCTATGAGATAATCAGTAATTACAACAACGAATATCTAAGAAAAGTACGTTTATTTACATACAAGAACAACAAGAAAATCTTGGAACTTTATAGTTCCGGTTCACATTTTTTTTCTGATAAAATCTGGGTTATCCAAGATTTTATCAGAAAAAAAATGTGAAAAAAAAATTGTCTGTGTTTTTTGTGTGTGGAAACACATTATCTGAAACGATTTCACATTTCTTTCACATACCTACGCTTTTTTATATTATGTTGGCGGGATTTTGTAGGTAAAAGGACTTTGTATCACAATTTTAGCATATTTTCATTCACACTACATGAAGAAGACATTCATTTATATTTTGTTTATAACCAAATAAATGTGATATTGAGCAAACAATCTTGAACTGAGGCTGAACGTATTTCTCGTCTTTTAAATTCTTTCACAACGCTGTGATTCGTTCATAAAATATTCGGGATTCATCTCCTTTCTGATTGGAACCTTTACTCACAATATACACATTCCTAATTCAAATCACTTTGAATCCCTAGGTATTAAAAGGCTACATTGGCCCCCGTAAACAGAAAGAAAACTATAACGCTTTTCTAATAGATGTGATAAAACCCTATTTTAACCTTTATGCTCTTCTTCTTTTTAGCAGTTAAAGACGACAGTGTCAAGTTTTTACTCGTCTGAATCTATATTTTCTAATAATTTTAGTCCAGGAGCTAGACTTACCTTATTACCACAAAAATTTTAGACATGCGTTTAGTGTGTCAAGTTTTCTCAACATGGTTTGAAGCCGTGTTCAACTAAAATATAGTAAGACCGTTAGAGTCGTCTCAGTATTTCTAACTTAGATTGCGGGGGAAAAAGTCAGGGGGATTGTCATACGAGTTTTGTTTCGATTTCATTAAGTTAGACCTAGGTTTAGATTCAATTAAAGTAAAGTAAAGTAATTAACAGTTTAATTTATGTACATCACTTATGATTATGATGTTATTAATAAACCCATTTTTCTTAATGAATATTTATGCATACTCGGAAATTATTTTGAATGAGATAACAGTACCATTATACTTAAATTATCTAATATCTACTTAATTATAGTTCCCATTTGTCATAGTAACACAGTCGAAATTAAGGTGTAGGTGCCCAAAACATGAATACCTACTCATTACCTAATATTGACATATTTACAGTTCACAAGATCTTAAGAAATACCAGCAGGTAGAATGTACAGTCAAAACATCATCACAATGACCACTGCAAGTTGACCTTGGTCAGCATTTGTTGAACCAAATTACTTGTGCTACTGTCATAGACAAAGATAAGCTAATCTCGACCTTATCACGTCGGGTTAACGCGCCCAAAGTTCATTTCCGACTATCGCGGTAAAATTGTCAGCACGCGCGTGTTTCAAGAAGTATGAAGTAGTGTACGTTTTACTAATCATTCAACTCGCGTGTCCGTCGTGTCGGGTTCTTGACTATTTTACTCAGTACACAGTTAACGGAACACTCTTAAAGGCAGTGCGGTAAAGGACTGTTTACGGAAATATTTTTTTATAACGAGTTAAAGGCATTTCTAATTATAAGTACATAGATACGTTCGTTTATTATCGTAGTGGAAAGTGCATACCCTACCTAACCTCAAAACTTTTACTTTTTAGTTTTAAATTTGGAACGCCCCGCGTTCTTTTCTTTTAATGTGAAATCGGGGCATGGTGTAAGTGTGTTGTGCAGCCAAAAATTATTACTGCGTTCGACATGGATGAACGGGTTCAAAATAAGAAGGGAAATGCCCATAAACAAATCTTAACAGCTCTATTAGGTTAGTAAAGTTATCCACTATTTATAGTATAATAAGAAGGTGAACTTATTATGAATGCTTATCTTCTTAAGTATAGTTAAATCGAGGCTTTATTACAAGTAAAGCCCTGAGTTTATTAGAAAAAATAATAACTAAAACCCGGTTAATTTATTTTAACTAATGTATGTACCTATATAGTTAATAATATCAATGCGAATAAATAATACAAAAGGTTTCTATCCCTCGGTAATAATTAATTTAGTTACACAAAAACGTGAAAAAAAATAACAAACATATTTTAATGATAATATTGAAATCTAAAGAAAATATAACTAGAAAATTTTCCACGCGGACCAGGCAGCGGACGGGACTCGAAACCGAACCCTTCGCTATCCGGGCGAATGCACTTACCAATTATGCGACCGCAGCCCTGACGGCAGCGTCGAAATTCCTCTAGCCATACTTAAGCTGCAAAGCAGCGCCATCTCTTCGCATTTTAGGTAACCCACAATGTGAAATGAATACCTTTACAAGTATTAATTATTTAAAAGAAGATATAGCAATTATAGTTATAATTTTTATTTAACGTCATAATTTTATATTTTTTTCATTAATATATTATATTGTTATTAAGTATATTATTAAACCATGCTTTAGTACTAAATAAAAAAACCGGCCAAGTGCGAGTTGGACTGGCGCACCGAGGGTTCCGTACAAACTCAATTTTATATCTCTACGCGTACATGAGAAAAGAGGTATAAACTTTAAAATTTTCAAAAATATTTTTTATTATATTATTATGATGTAACTAAAAATTTACGGTTATCGCAATTTTTCCTTTATCTTAACTATAAGACGTTACTTCGTCAAGAAGTTCACTAGAAGTTTTTTGTAGGTTTATTCCCGTGCGAGTTTCGAAAAATTGCGGAAATATGCGGCAGAAACGGCTGTATCATTTGATTGCTTGGGCTTAGAAGTTTGATTTTTTTACAGCTCCAAGTGACAGTAGATATAAGTATTAGATATGAATTTCAGTTTGATAGCTCCACGCGTTCCTGAGAAAAACGGTATTGACAGACGGACGGACGGATGGACGGGCGGACAACAAAGTGATCCTATAACGGTTCCGTTTTTTCCTTTTGAGGTACGGAACCCTAAATCTTCCTATTTTCGTTGTTGTCTTAAAGCGTTTTTTTAGCTTGGATAAGATGTCGAATATATCGGATAAACACGGCCAGGGGCCCAATTCTCGTTTCCTTCTAATAAATCTCTAAATAGACATTATTGTTCGAACTGTTTCTCGGCCAGAAATTTCGAAAGTAGAAGTCGATTTCTCGATTGCTGTATTCTCATCACTAATCGAGGTGTATTTCGAACAAATTTCGATTCGAAAACGTATCAGGTTCACTTAAAGGCTACTAAGCATAGAGGCGATCTGCTGACTGAAACCTACGCTCCGAGTGCAACTTTTCACTTTGACGTTTAAATTTCGACTTAAGTTTCATACATTTTTCGCCTTATTACAAAACGTAGACTCAAGTTATACCTGGAGGCCTACTCTATTTCAACGAAAAACGAAATTTCGATCGAAATTTCGACCGTTCCCTACTCTGTTTCCTTTTCATTTCGAAAATTCGTTCGTCCGAAATATTTTGACAATTAAATTCTCCAAGCCTACTCTAATTCACAAAACTTTCGAAGGAAAAATTGAATTTGACAGATAATTGTTCGAAATTTTAACCTCAAATCGACGAAATGAAAAGTGTTACCTTTTCATTTTCGTTTTGAGATTTTTGTTTTAATTAAGCCTAAAATACTTGCAAGAGTATTTTTAATAATAGCTGCTTAGCTCGAGTAAAATTTTTAGCTAGTAAAATTAACAAATAAACCATTTTTTTATTATTTTTTGTAATTTCGATACTTCAAAGTATTAAACGACAAATTGAGGTTGACATACAGTAGATTGTATCGACTCTACAAATTAGTCGGCTAACACTGTCAAAGAAGGTTCTTTTAATGTCATCAAAAAAATTGCCGTAAACTACCTATATTGTTTCCAAGTAAAAAAAACGTTTTCTTGAAAGTAGAGATGAAAAGAACTCACAAACATGACTCATTCCATTCGTTCACGAAAACTGTTTATGGTTCCGAAGTTAATGTGCGTGTTCGAAAATTAAATAGAGTAGAGTCAATGGCGAAATTTCGTTTGAAATTCGTTCGTTACCAAATTTCGTTTCGGAGAAAGAGAGTAGAGCTCCTGGACTAAAACTGATGCTGTCAATTTTGTTGGCTAAAAAAGACGACAGAGATAATAATTATTTATTAGATTTAAACCAAGAAGACTTACTTTAGTCCGCGTTTTGGAACAAGGTGAATAATTAAACTAAAGAAAAGTTTACTAGAAAAAAAATCCACGCTGACCAGGCAGCAGACGAGACGCGAATCCGCACCCTTCGCTATCCGGGCGAATGCACTGACCATTATGCTACCGGGGCCCTGACGGCCGCGTCGAACTTTCTCTAGCCTTAGGCTGCAAGGCAGCGCCATCTCTTCGCATTGAAGGTAACCCACAAAAAAAACATAAGGTAATAATGTCAAAATTTAAACTTCAGAGTGAAAAGTTGCATCGTGATACGTTTAATATCAAGTAGAAGGAGCGTTTTTAAAGGCTCACCATAATTTTCTATAACTTACATTAAAAAAAATTCGTAAGTAGGCTCATGAAGGAAAACAAATTTATTAATTTTTATAAACCATCAAAGTTTTTTCGGAAATAATGTTATGATTTTACTTTAGAAAATAATATCCATGTAGAAAATAAATACGAGAATATATCAAATCAGCGTTTCCGTTAATTACTTTTTGAGTCTGAAATGTTTTTTACTGTATCGCAAATCAAATGGATCCACAACATCGTTAAGATTGTTAAATCGTTGATGAGGTAGGTACGCCTGTCAAGAAAATTTCTTATTAAATATATTTCGTATGAAGTCAATGATAAATCTGTCAATCATTAAAAATATTAGCTTTATTATGAAAATAAATATTTAAATATGAATGTGACGTTTGTAATGTCGCAAGCAATACGTTACGTCTCGAATGATTCCGACCACTTGAAGCAGTTCGAGCGGTTTACGTTCGACAAATGTCGTATTCGACATAATGAGAATAGTACTATTTCAGTTTTACTCATAATAAAATCGAATTCGAACTGTTTTTCCAATTCGTAATTAATTCCAGTGAATGAGATTTGCACCCTACGTAGTCGAGGGATTTACTTAAATAACCGTTCCTTGAACAACCCATTAAGTCCGTTTCTGGATTAATAAATTACAATTTGAAGCTTTACTTTGAGATACGTACCATAAACGATTGCTTGTTACTTCAACGAGATGTTGAAGCACTGTTGGATGGAGCATCGAAAATGAAATGGAATTTCAAAGTGTAGGTACTCTTATAAGTTTCAGCCGAATGAGAAGTCCTATCAAATTTAACTACGAACTAAACGGCAATACTATAGCTAGACCCACTACTTTTAAGAACTTAGGTGTCAAGTACTTATTACACTGCCTGGATTATAACTCCTTGGAGGTGCGAAGGCTTGATGAACAGCTGATAACAATGAGCAAAATATTACGTGGAATATTAGAAGCACCGGAAGTCCAATAACTATGCAGTGGCAGTAGAAGACACAAATTATTTGCTGTTCCAGCTTGTCGCACAGTCACTTGTGCAAGATCGTCCATCCCACGCACCCTCACTGCACTCAATGCCCTCCTGGAAGCCAGTCCTGAATGTGATGTATTTGCGGATGAATGGAAAAAATGGCTATCAGTGTTTGAGGTTTTGCGAGGATATTGTATGAGTAGTATTTTATACCTGTTAATTAGTGTAAGTGCATTTATTAATATAATACTAAATAACTGAAGGGATAACTAGGCTGTCTGTCTCCCATTCCCATGGGCCAGTTGCTTAAGTCCCCATCGTAAGGTGGGGACTTCCCCATCTTCTAGTGTTACCTTTTCCCTAATATTTCTTATCTCCTCAGCTACAATCCCGACGTTCACGTACGGGATCCAGATAGGCTGGCTATCTCCCATGGGGCCGCTGCTCAAGTCTCCATCCTCGCCGGCCAGCGAGAAGATCGCAGACAACCACATCAGCTGGATGGCGGCCGCCCTGCCTCTGTCAGCCATATGCAGCATCCCCTTCTTCAGTTACAGCTCGGATAGATTCGGGAGGAAGATCTGCCTGATAGCTGTCTCTTTCTTGTCCGGAGTAAGTTACTACCCACTTATCACATACTAGCTTATGTATGAATGTTAATAAAGGTCTCCCTTGGGTCGCGACCCATCAAGCTATCAGTGGGTAAATGCAGATGCAGCCGAGACCAACGCCTTCGCGTGTCTATTTTTTAATTTATTTGTCAGGAAACAAACGGTTACATGAAAACATTGTACAAGTTAATGTGGTACTTAAAAACCTATAGTTCCATCAATAGTTATAAAAAAAAAGCCTTTATTGCTGTAAAACATTAGAATAATACATGTTATGTAGTTCCTATTGCTATTTACTTTATCTATTCTATTGCTTAACTCATTTTTTACTATATACTATATCTAAACTATGTATTACTATTACTAAACATAAACTATTTATTTTATTATTTCACAGCTTGTCCTTCGACAAAGGCCTCCTCTAAAGCTTTCCATTTTAATCGGTCTTTTGCTAGACGTATCCATTCTGGACCTACCGCCTTTTTTATGTCGTCTTCCCAACGTTTACTTTGTCTGCCTTTGCTTCTTTTGCTATCACGTGGGTACCATTCTGTGACTAGTTTTGTCCACTTCTCTTTTTCTTCTCTTAACATGTGTCCTGTCCATCTCCATTTCATGCATTTGTACATAGTAATATATATAATAATAAATATTTTTAATAAATATTTTTGAATTTAGTTCTACTCTTTATAGTCTGTAATCTCACCTTGTCTCTTCTTCTGACTCCAACTACGCATCTCTTCATTCCATTTTGGCATACCTACTATGACTTTTTTGAGTTGCTGTTCGGTTAGTGCCCATGTTTGGCATGCATACGATAAACATGGAAGGACACATGTATCAAATATTTTTCTTTTCTCTTTGATATGCATGTAATTGTTCTTCATTACCTCGCTTAGAGACCAAAACCTTTTCCAGCTATTTGCAATTCTCCTATCTATTTCCTTATGCATGGAGTCTTCTGTGGATACTAGTTGGCATAATAAACATACTCGTCAACATACTCAATATCTATGTTTTGTGCCCATTACTGATTTGAATGCTCTTCTTAATTGAGTTGGTAACCTTCGTTTTTGATGGGTTCATTGATAGGCCGACCATCAATAGTTACTGATGAGATAAAACAGTTCGAGTAAAGTATAAAATTATATAAAAGGTAAAACAACGAAAATGCCAGTGATGTTCAGTACACAAATGACAGTAATATAATGTTTTCATCTCTCTTATCTTATAACAAGAAACAATTATGCACATTTCATGATTCATATTACCCATGAGAAGTGTCTTCCGAAAGATAGGAAATAATAAGCTCATGAGTAGCCATAAGCTTACCTTACACGATAATGGAATGAACGTGCTTATAAGAGCTGCACCATTTAGATGAGATTTCCCAAAAAAAAATATGTAAGCAACTTTAGTTAGATTTAAAAATTACTTAATTTTCAACTCTGACTGCGACCATTTTACTAAATTTAGACGTGATATCAATACCAATACATGACTAGGTCATTCCTGATTACAATCCTCTACCCCGTGGAGCCCTGGAAACATACTCACCAACAGATATAGAGCACCAATGCAGGTTCAGAAGTCTATCTCATTTTCATATAGTTTTCATGTCCAACAGATATCATGGACGCTGAAACTATCTGCAGTGAATGTGGCCTCCTTAATCGCAGCTCGAATTATAGCAGGACTTGCGAGTGGAGGATGCTTTGTGGTAGTTCCAGCATACGTGAAGGAGATCTCAGATGACTCGTTGAGAGGAGCCCTGGGCGCTCTGAACATGACAGTGTGCAAGCTCGGTGTCATCTTCGTGTACGCTATGGCCTTACTGGCCTCGTATACGGTCAATCAAGCAGTATATTTGACCATAACTGTGGCTCACGTCACAGTGTTCTGTTTCATGCCAGAATCGCCGAATTATTTGCTGAAAATCGGGAGGGAAGATGTGAGTTGCTATTTCTTAACATATACCTACTTATACAACCCGGCAAACTTCTTGAGCAACGACTATATACAAGGAAGGCTGCGGGGTGTCAATTTTACACATAATTACGCGTACTGCGTTAGTTTATTTGTCTGTGTGTGGTTGTTTGCTCAATGAGCTCAAGTTTTGCTTCAAAAGTTTGCCGCTACCTATAAAACTGGTTCTGATTGCGTCGTTGTTCTCGGGTGTGAGCGCTGATTGGTTCCATTGTTTGATGTCGCGTCGTTTGATTGGCTATTATCTACTTATTAGGTAGCGAAGCGAACCGTCGACATTGGTTCCCGTACAAACGGTCTATCATCACTCTTCTTACCTCTTTCTGTGTTTATTATACTACATGATTAGTCGGTGCCAACGACTGTTTAGTAGAATTAATATACGATATAATGTCGGCATTATTTTAGTCTCATTTCTTAGCAACAGTTGTTATTTTAATTATAATCATAAAAACAATTAGATAATTCAGATCCAATAGGACTATATCTTGCTTGACATTAATGATCTGATTAAACATTAAAGGTTAAGGTAAAATAAAGAAACTTACAATACTTACCTACTTATTACATAATTAAATACTTACATCACATATTCCTTTTTAGAGTCGTTTAAAACCCCAAATATACTAGTTAGCTTAAACCAACACTATAGTAAGTAATGAACATAAAGCTTCAAAATAGGCAGACGCATTAGAATCTACAAGATGTATTTCAGAGGGCAGCGAAGACTATCAGTTGGCTCCGCGACGTGAAGCAGCGCAGCAAGGTCGTGGCTGATGAGCTCGCCAAACTGCGCGAGGAGCAACGACTCATCGATGCCATGCCGCAGGTCACATTATGGAGTATTGGTAAGTTACATTACATCCTATTTAAAAAGTGAAACTTTTTGCCTTGCAGCTTAAGAATGCCTAGAAGAATTTCGACGCGGTCCGTGAGGGCCGCGGTAGCATAATTGGTCAGTGCATTCGCCCGGATTGCGAAGGGTGCGGGTTCGAGTCCCGTCTGCTGCGTGGTCCGCGTGGATTTTTTTCTAGTTAGATTCTCTTTAGATTTAAACATCAAGCAGTTACATGCTTTAAAATAATAAAAATTATAAATTGAAACTTTTATTAGTTACATCACCTCAAATTTTTACGTTATTTAAAAAAATAAGAACTACTCAACAAGCGTTCTCAACAAGGTTCAGTAGTAGAAAGCTCGCCTGCTACGAGGGCGCCCCTTGATCGATCCCTAGCCGAGAAAGCATTATTTTCCACTTATGATTTTAAAAGTTGGACATACATCGTGGTTCCATAAATTACACCATTTTTATATACATTTAACCACAGAATACAGAAAGATGTTAGAAGGCTGCTCTTACAAACGCCGCGACATCAAACAATCGACTCAATCAGCGCTCACACCCGATAGCAACGACGCAATCAGAACAAAGTTTAGGTCAAGTTATGAGCATTTGCTCACATGTAACTGTGGCGCACCTGCCCCGCCCACAAGACCCTTCTAACCTCTTTCTGTGTTCTGTGGTCTTGATAAACTCAAATCCTTAAGAGATAAGGTATAGAGAATTTTACCTCTTTAATTATTATAGAAGACCAGATTTGTTAACCTTTCAAAGTCAGACTCAGTTAGCGTTGCCAGGCGTTCGGGTAAAGCCGGACATAGGCTTTTTGAATGCGTGTCCGGCAAAAATAAACAGTGTCCGGGTTTTGTTAGGCTTTTAACCTTTCGCAAACGAGGGAACGCCGAGCGTGGCCAAGTGCAAGTCTTTGATTGGCAGTCGCTTTTGCATACAATTTTTTGTCGTACCTAATATTACTAAACCGCAAAGTCCTTATTAATGCTGGGTGTCCGGTCTTTTACCCAAATGTCCGGCAAAACTGGCCGGTCTGTCCGGCTATTAGGTTTGGCGACCTGACAACCGTAGACCCAGAGCCAAATTACAGTTCATATTTATAGGACGATAACCAGATGATGATGACGCAGAACCAATCTTCTTTACGATTCAGTGAATGACAAAGCTACGTTTTCCGCTCTCCGAATGACACTAATGCTGATGGCCATGCAGACCCTGTCCGGGTGCTTCGCCCTCATGAACTACGCGGCGGACGTGTTCACCCGAGCGGGCAACACCTGGAGCCCTAACACCCTAGCGCTTATGATGGCGTCGCTGCAATTAGCGGGTTCCTTCTTCACCACAATGTCCATTGAAAAATTCGGAAGAAAGGTTAGTGGAATAACTTGTTCAATGTTGACATGCGAGATCAGGGCCGGATTTAGGTCCAAGGTGGGGGTTGTGGCCCAGGGGAGAGGGGCCCCACAACATAGATAAAAGTGGCCTTGGGTTTCAGATTTGAAAATAGACTCTACACATCTTCGTTGCCTCGAGGGCCTCCACACCTTAAAATCCGGCCCCGTGTGTGATCATTTCTAGATGCATAATATCATTTTAAATAGTTAAGAAAGTAATCATAATGTAATCTTTACATGTGAACCTCAACACATACCGATTAACGTAATTTTCCTTAAAGATGATAAAGTAAAAATGCAAACATTTCGTGTAAAATAAAGAATATAACATAATGATTGTTTTCGTATTCAACCATTTAACATTATTTTTAAAATAAGAAAATATTTACTTAAAATAATAAAAAGCGTTGAAAAATGGGGACCAAGGTTTGAACCCTGAGAAACTCTTAAATTGCAAGGATAGGTACTAAAATAGCTTGCAGCTATACATACAGTACCGTAATAAGCGAATAATGCCTATTCAAGGGTAAGAATAATAAAAAATAGTAGGTTTGTAAGGCAAATAATATTGGTATAAATTAACGGACAACAAAGTGATCCTTTAAGGGTTCCGTTTTTTCCTTTTGAGGTACGAAACCCTAAAAAGCTCTGTAACAACAGGAGCTTGCCCTTTGATAGAACCTCACAGTTGGGGAAATTAGCTAATGACGCTATATTGTTATTATTGCTCCCAGCCTGGCATTTATGGATGATTTTTTAATTTGTTTGTTATTTATTTCATAAAATATCGAGCGTCAGGGGAAGACAAATAGAAAATGTATGCGTGTGGATGATGCAGTGCGTCATCCCCTTCTGATGGGATGATTGTATCGACGAAAGACCAACCCTGTAAGGCCCTTATAGCTATTAGTATCCCCCAACGGATATGTTTTAGTCAGTAAAATTCTGTTTCGCACCCATGACGATTTCACACTAGCTCCCCCGCCTGGGAGAACACAAAAATATGTATGCATTCCATACATAGAACTCAACGATATTATAAACTACCTAATATTTCGTTTTGTCTTCAGATGCCGCTAGCGTGCAGTTCCCTGGTAGTGTCACTATGCATGATGGCTCTTGCGACCAGTTTCCTCGTGGACACCAGTAGCGTCTCCTGGTTACCCGCGACGGCTGTCTGTGTGAGCTTCTTGGCTTACGGGGCCGGACTTGCTCCAGTGCCGATGGTCATTATGGCTGAAGTCTTCACATTCCAGGTAAAGGATAGTGTAGTTCTCTGGTGGCGCTGACGACCACTTTCCTCGTGGACACCAGGTTTACTGAGTATTTTTAAGTAACTTACTAAATAATTTTTTTAACTTAACTAGTTTAATTACTTTATGAGTGCCCAACTAAGCATATTTTTAAGATAGTCCTAATTGAATAGGTGACTACCTGATTTCTGATGGTCACCTTACTGTAACAATCAATATTGAAATTTTAACAATTGAACGAGTCTTCAATTTTTAAAACAGCAAGCGTTTTTAAACAGACGACTCTTATTGTAGAATGTGGAATCATACAAATGGCCTGAGACATATTATAATAGTTTAGAGAATCACGCCAGAATCGATACCAATGATTCTCTAAACTTAAAACTAAATTCAACATCAGTCTCTCCTTTTCATTCTCTATAGAGAATGACAGGGATGCACTGTTGTCAAATTTAAGTTTAGCTTTAGAGAATCATGCCAGAATCGACATCATTAACATCCTATTTTTTTTATTAATCGGAAGTATCAGAACTAACTTACTTTTAACTCTCTTCAACTTTACAATTTCACGTGTCGCTTTTTGTCAACAGATGCGTGCGCGCATGGCGGGAGCTTCAATGGCCTTCTCGTTTTTCTGCAGTTCAATGACTGTGCTATTCTATACTCCAGTAGCCAACCAGTTCGGGGCGCACGTTGTATTCTTCATTTTCGCTGCCGTAACTCTTTTCGGGGTGATATACACGATACTGTGGGTGCCCGAGACGAAGGGCAAGAGCCTTAAAGAGATACAGAGCTTCTGGAAAGAACCAGACCCGGTCGATGTATGACGCAGCAGTAACTAGTGAGAACCAAAGAAGAAAAGTACTTATTTGTAGAGATTAACGCTCACGGAGACGTCGATGACGAGTGTTATTATATTTTACACATAGATGTAAAAGAAGAGGCAACTAAGCGACAAATGTAATCTACTAAATAAAATTACAAAGATAATTTATTGAACTGGTGAGAGAAGAAGTGACTTATATAATACTTACTTTTTCTGAGAAAAAGGAGTAGTTAGTAGTAACTAAGTACGTAATACCCAATAATTATGAAAACTTTAACGATATTATGAATGAATAAAATATAATTCTACTTATATGATGCTCATCGTTCAACATATTTAAATAAGTTTTACTTAGGTTAGTAACATAATGATGTCGATTCTGGCATGATTCTCTAAAGCTAAACTTAAATTTGACAACAGTGCATCCTTGTCCTTCTCTATACGGAATGAAAAGGTGAGACTGACCTTAAATTTAGTTTTAAGTTTAGAGAATTACGCCGGAATTGGGCCCATTATGTAAATGTAACTAATTAAATATTTATTATAAATGATTTTTATGACTTTTCTTGCGTTGCCTATCTAGGGTCTGCGCTGCGTTTAGCGGGAGCACGGAGCGGACGTTCGCCCCGCGTGCATTTCATAGAACAGTGCTGCGACGGAAGACCCGCCTCAAACGCAACGCTGCTTTATGAAATAACTGCACGCGTAGCGGATCTTCGCTCCGTGTTCCCGCTTAACGCAGCGCACACCCATAATGCTGCTACTTCTGTCAGTTACTATGATAACTAAGAGGGGCGATACACGTTACAACGGTCGCACGGACTACGGTCGTATGCGACATGTTCGATCGTGAATGGATTGGTCGTAGAGCAGAATACGATCAAGGTCATGTCGCCCGCCGGTCCGAAATACTTATCAAACGTGGTTCGATCGACGGTCTTTGCGACTATTTCAACGTGAATGGTCCCTTTTAGGTGACACTTCCAGATGGAGGTAATATTAATTAGGGATGTCGAAAGTTGAAAAAAATATCGATATATCGATACATCGATATTTAAAATAATATCAATATCGGCTTCAATATATCGTGAAAAAAACATCGATATATCGATATATCGGAGCAATTTTCCCAAAAATATATTTTGGTCAGCCTAGCACATACAAATTATAATTAAAGAAAGAATTATCAAAGTACCAAATTGCCGCTACACTACATGACAGTACAGTATCTCACGAAAGATGACACGCGGAATAATAATGGAACGAAAATTATCTCCCTAAAAATAGAGCCTATTTTCGAATGATGAAAATGATTGCAGGGCCTCTCAGGTGCCATCTTTCGTAAACAAAGCCTAGACAGTCACACACTTCCACAGAATATAATGGAATTCAGCATAACCAATTCACCAGCGAAACAGATTTACAAATCATAGACAATACTAATTACTATAATATATTTTCGATATATCGATACATCGATATATTTTCAACAAGCCTAATATTAATATATTTACGTACATTACTGTTGACGTATTGGCAAGGGACAAAATGTCTTGTGTATTATTATTATTAAGACCAAGGCCAAATAGGAATTTATGCAATCGCCTTGCGTTGGTGAGCAAGTTAACATAGAATGGATGATCAAAAATATACTATGGGGCCGTCCATTAATCACGTGTTTTTTTGCAATTTCAACCGAATCTTATTTTTATTAAATATTATAAAAACAGGTATAAGTATCATCTAATTTTATTATAGAAAATTAAAGACTACATTAATAACGAAACAGAGGGTTGCAGGTTGTTTTTCACTGACGTGAAAATAAATGAAAAAAAAAATTGTACTAATACATGAACATAATATAATGTACAATATCCACGGACCACGGAAATACATGTAAATACTACATCGACCCCCCCCCCCCCCCCTGTGATATTTTGTGATTTTTTTATGAACCCCTCCGCTCGTTTCGAGCCTCACGTATCTGAAAGTAAGCCACTGATGCCAGATTGGGGGGATTCCCCCCAAATTTGAGGGGGTTTTTAAAGCAATGGGGGGAAGATATTTTGGATTGGGGGAAACGGGCGTTTTTTAATTACATTTTTTTTATATTAATAAAACTACTTTATAAACTTTTAATCTATAAAAAGTCGCGATCCACAGTCAATCAACAGTCTCTCTTTCTCATTCTATACATAGCATGACAAGGCTAGACTGTTGTCAAATTTAATTTTATTAGGCTTAGAGAATCATGCCAGATTTGGGCCCACTGAACTGTGTTCATTCAGTGAGCCCGATTCGGACCCCTAAATCCAAAGCCCACTTATAAGTATTCTTCAGTCCATACCGTCTCGCTCATTCGCTCGGTCAGTCAAGTCAAGCAAGTCAGTCAGTCGTTAAAGGCGTTAGCTTAAACTGCAAATCGAATCAACAGTATCTATCATCTTTGCTTTGCTAAGTCGCAATTTGGTAATTTGTCCTTTTAATTGTTTGCACCCTGTTAAAATAATGGCATTATTAAAACAAAGTTCTGTAAGAAGATTATCAAAGGAGTGGAAAAGGACGCGTGGGAAGATGTTGGTCCAGTAATGGACGCTGTTGCAAAAATACATACTTAGTAGTAAATATTGTATTTTTAATAAATATTTTGCATGTTGGGGGTTTCTTTTCTTTAAAAACCTGTATTTTGGGGGGAAGACAAAATGGCTTTCTAGTAACACTGAAGTACGCTAAAGGTGAACGCAGACTTGGTTACACCGCAGTCTCCGCAGTCATCGCTTTGTGTTAATGACCTCGCACATCTATCCGCACCGCAGTCGCTGCAGTCGTTAGCGTCGCTGCACGCATCGCACTTGATTTCATTCATTCAGTTGATACGAATGACGTCATCCGCGCCGCGCTATCCGCAGCGTCCGCTGCGTGCGGGCCGGCGTTGGTGACGTCATCAGCTGCGGCTTGGCGAGTTCGGTTGTTTCAGGGACTGCGGCGACTGCGACGCGGGTGGATGTGCGAGGTTGCATAGAACTTCATATAAAGAATTCGAATGCGAAGACTGCGGCGCGTGCGGTGCGGCCAAGTCTGTGTTCACCTTAAGTTCGTTCGTTGGTCCCGGCTGCTGCATCCAGCACCCACTCGCATGGGGCACGCGTGGTGAGTCATTGATGGTACAATTGCTCCATATTGGGATGGGTTGTGCCCTAGCAGTAGGGGCATTTAAAGACTGATAAATGACACCTTTATATCTGTGAAACCGAGTGAAAAATAAAAATCTCTTCTCCGTTTTAATATTTTATTTTAATACATAACTACAGAGAATCATCACTGCGACGGCACAATATCGGCGCGTCGTCCACATGTTTTCGATTTTTTCATTTTTTTGGTAAACTTACAAAACAAATTTTAATCGATACACAGGGATCTTTTACATCAAGAAACTTGTATCTACTAATGTAAAAAATAGGATTCGTCCCAACTGGGCTTGCACAATCGGAAGGTAAGTTTGTCAGTAAACATTTTAGTTGTGAACTTAACAAAATTTAATTTTAAAAGTTTTCTTATACGATTCTTTTTCCGATAACAAAAGAAATTAGGTACAATTTTGTGGTTTTATTTTTCGAAATCGATATTTTGAGAGCAATATAGGTAAACCGATACGTGAACCAAAAGTTCTTTCCTCCTTGTAAATAAATGTAGGTACTTTAGAATTTGGCATTTCACCGAAACCCAAAGTACATAAAATCTAGTCTTAATCATAATGTTATAACAACATAGATCGAAACAATAGCCCTAACGCTTATTATAATATACCATAACTATTTAACTTAAAAGAATCGCATAAGACATAGACAAAAAAAAGACTTAACGAATGCATTTAATTTAAATAGAACTACATCACACAAAATTATCTTAAAAGTTAACTTGCAATATTTTATAACAACTAAAATCCGGTTTCTGGCGAAAAATCTGTGTATATAAACTGTTTAATTAAAGCATATCAAGTTATAATTATTATTGTTCGCACTTGGTCAAGTATTTCTAAGGAAACATTAAAAAAAAGTCCGTATACACGAGGACCAAGATCAGATTGACGGGCGTTTAAGACTGTTAAATCAGCCGGGACCGACAAAATGCAAGTGCCTTTCACAACACTTACAAAACAGACAGACAGTTTTGAAACCGTTTAGCTTTATACAAAAGTAATAATTAATATCTTACACAAAAAGTTGTGAAACTGTCTTATGAACTTACCGAGTTACCAAGAATAAAAAGAAACAGTTCAAGAACACACATTAATATGTGCTGTGGATAAAAAAATATATCTATGTCTATTAGGATTAGGAAATACCAGTGCATTCTGATGCAGTGACCCATCAAAATAATACAGATAAAAAGATTACGACCAGCCATAATCGTAACTAAAACAACGTTTCAAAGAAACATGACGATTATTAAAACTTACATTTAAAAAAAAAACTATATTACAGACTCTTCTCTCTGAAGCTTTCGTAAGCTTCCACTTTCTCCATTGAGTTGTTGTTCTTAAATTTTATATTTTTTTTAAATGGCTATCCATCCTTCCTGCTAAGGAATCTTCTGCCAGTGTCATTTTTTTTTGTCGTTTTCAGGATTTTTTCTACCAAGGTTATTTATGATTCAGGACCACAATTAATAGATTCCATATTATAATAGACTTTTGAGACATGATTGCACCGTCTTTATACATCACAAATCCACTAGGTAACAATTTCAAATAGGCGGCAAAAACTACCGGTTATAACTTGTGTTTGGGTCACGAAAAAGAGATGGCGTTGTTTGCATTATTTACCAATCTCGCATGTTTACAGAACTGTCTGTATTCGTAGACTGTTTTGTAATATGACCGTTATTATCAAGGATGTACGATATACAATATTAAACAGACAAACACGGCAATACATTAGGTGCTAATACATATTCGCACTGTTTGTTGTACGACCATCAAAATACGTCAAATGTTTAAAATTTATGCTCTCGAAATGATTTAAAATTACGCCGTTTCGTCATTAGTGCCCCAACGCACTGTCTAATTCATTGCATAAAATATATTTAATATTACAATACTTTTCCTCTCGTTTGAGTTAAACAATCATGTTGATTATCCAAGTATTTTTACCCAGCGATGTTATCTGAAACATATGCTAAAAGCAAATGCAACAATTTCAATGGAGTCTAAATAAAATAAAATTTATGCAGATCGCACAAGGATTCTATTTACAAAGTCTTAAATGTTTTATACGAGCATGAATTATGTTGTCATTATCATAAATTCTGATTTCTGTGTAAACACATGATATCTTTACGATGTTACTGATACAATGTTTTCCTTGTCTCTTGGCAGATTTCGTACAAAGGATTTAAAATAATTGATAACAATATTTGCAGAAATGTTTTGAGCCTTTTAGTAAATCCAACAAACTGGTACTGTAACTCCTTTCAATAATCTTATATCATTCTTGTTTTTGTTGAGCAAAACAACATTATATTTACAAAAAAAAGCTACTGTTGTAGAGTTTTCAACATTGGAACCTGTACATTTTATGTGGTCGTTATTCAGTTTATATATAAATACTATCTTCCATAGCATACAATTATTACCAAGTTACCCTTACAGACAAAAATATGCTTCGCTTAATTACTGATCTAGTGACATCCATTTTTTGTGACATATAAATTGAGTAACGCAGTACTATCCTACACAATTAAGTTGGGGATCCATTGTAGCCTCACACATCTCGATTTCAGAAGAATTTCTTTGCATTATAAAAAATTCAGAACAGACATACAAATAAGTCTTTAAACATTTCTGCAATTAGTTATAACAAAATTAAACGTTTTCATTAGATTTCTACTCAATGAGACCTAAAACCAAAATCGATCTGAAATCATACACTTGATAAGTGATTTAAAAACTAGAATATGTTTGTTGTTTCATTTCAATGATATTTCTATATGAACAGTCTTTAATGTGCAGTTAAGTAGTAAGCGTATTATTCTGAGGGTAGTTGATTATAAATGTTGTATTAGGGCTCGTTTCACACCCATAGACGTAGAGAATATACTGAGCAATAACCACAAGAAATGGGCTACGATCTAGAAAGACAGGAAACTATGGTGTGAGGCCAATGACCTATGCCATACATTTCTGACCGCGTTCACTTTAGACCTAGTCTATACTCAGTTCATTATGTCTATGGTTGCGCAATCTAGCGGCGACTTAGGGAGTGTCTAGAAGCTAGTGGATATTTTCATGTGCAAAAACTCGTGCGCGTACAAAAGTCTGACAGTATAGGCAGCGGCAAACTACTTGAGAAAAACCAGACAAATAAATTTGCGCAGTAGATGTTTTTGTTTGTAAATATGCTACTGCGCATGCTTCCTTGTCTATGGTCGATGCTCAAGGGACCCCGCAAGGAGTATAAGGCCATTTGCAACAAATTCGACTACGATTCAATTAAAACTTAGATTTAACCCATGACAAAACGTCAATGTCGATTTGACATTATTACATGGGCTAAATCTAGTCACAGTTGAACTGAGATTTAGCAAAATTGCTGCAAGTGGGCCTAAGTAATACAATTAGCCCTATAGCTATTTTCCAGCGTTTTTTACAGAAAGAAATATCCGCAGCATTTTGACTATTCCTATGACAGATCAATTGCCGCCAAAATCAAAGCTATACCGCACAATAACTAAAGGAAGCAACATACATAATCCGAGCGTTAAAAAGAAGTGCATTTAAATAAAACATTTTGCTTAACATGCAATTAATATTTCCATAATAGGACGCGAAGTATTATTCGCGATATTCGTAAACACAGTGTTCGGTATACGAGACATATTTTATTTATTTATTTGACAAATTGGCAGTATTTTACAATATATGTTAGCCCAGTTGATGGTTGCGCACCGCTCGGTTCACGTAGATTTTAATGTCCAGGGGGCCAATGGCCTAACGGGATTGCTATCGTTATCGCTTACGATTTCATGTTGTTATTTCTGACCACCGAAGGTTTTCAAATACCTCACGCTCATTTTTTTAATATTGTTATTCCAATGCAAAAGAAAAAAAAGAGCGCGGAGTATTTGAAAACCTCAGGCGGCCAGAAATATCAAAATAAGCGATAGCGGTAGCCATAGCAATCCCGTTAGGCCAGAGGCCCCCTGATTTTATTCTATAACAGAAAAAGGGAGAGAAAAATTATATCTTTATAAGTAAGCTCTTGCAACTTTAAAAAGGAACAAAAATTTTAGAGTTAGGCCATGATAATAAGAGAATATATATTGATGTGTTTTACTTATAAATTCCTATTATGAACATATAAGTTTGTAATGAATATATATATATATATTTTAAATCTCAAATACAATGAGAAACCTGCTCAAAACAAGCCTGTTAATCAGTAACATTAAGAAAATATATAAAGTATTATGAGGTGTCCATATCTAACCAAACCCCACCATAAGTTTCCAAAACCTGTTACACTGTAACTTTTATTGAAACTAATTTGACAGTACAGTCAAGTTCTGTGTATCAGAACGCCATTGTTTGGAGGTCAGTAAACCTTCTGTTTGTTGGTAATAAAATATTATTCATAAATGCCTCAAATTCTGAAAGTGCCACCCCAGAAATGATTCGAAGATCCACTTGCAGCAAATTTTCTATAACTCGATTGAACTAAAACTAGACTTTACTCATACAAAAATGCCAAGAGTCAAATGTAGATTAAAAAACCTGTCATTCTTGTATGGGATAAATCTAGTGCTAGTTAAATCGAAATTTACCAAAATCGCTACAAGTGAGCCTAAAGATCAGGGATTTAGTGGAAAGCACTTTAAAGTTCATGTATTCGAAATTATCGTAGCATTTATTTCAATGTGATTGGAGCGGTGTGCATTTACCATATCGGGGTTATGTTCACTCGCTGACATTGCCTTTGGGCTGTGCCTCTTCGAGTTCCGTCTCCGGTGGTTGTTCGAGGCCTGGCAGTTGGATCTGCGTATCGGCAGCTTCAGAAGGCTGTGGGCGAAAAGAAAACCAGTTATCGAAGACCAGCAAGAAGTTTTACAAGATATATAGTATATTTTTTATGCCGACACTTGCCTATTTGTGTTTGCTATTTGTAAACTGACATCAGTCTATCCTTTAACATGCTCTTTAATTAATAAAAAGGGCAGACTGATGTCATCACAGAATCAATTATTTATTTCAAATAGATATTAAATCAGCATATTTTTAGTGGCAATTACATAAAATCTACTATAAATTATCCCTTAATCGTCCACCTTTTACTTGTACTACAATACCTATGTTCAAATTTAACATATGAAATATAGTCACAATGGTAGCATGTCAATAATATTATTTACAATCTTCAGTTGTAATTTTTTACGCTGTCTTAGGCTGGTATCACAGAATGACAACTAAGTGTTGATCTTTACTTGCTCTGTATAGCACATAGCGGCATCCCTTTCTAATTGTGTTCAAGTAAAGATCGACACTTACTTGTCATTCTGTAATACGGGCCTTAGAAGCTTATATGAGTATGTTATTTTTAACACCATCACTTTTTATTAATGTTCCCGAGAGTAAATGCAAACATAAACTTTATTGCAAGGTACTACACAGAATGAAGTACATATATATAAAACTAGCTATTCACTATATGTATTGACAACTCGATATAAACCAATTTGATATACAATAAAAGAAAACTTGACGCAACAAACAAAAAAGAACTTATCAGCAATTAAATATCGGGATGAATATGGAGCTGGATACTCAAGTCATCCGATTCGTAATGTTTAGTTGTGAGAGCCGATGTCCAAGCACAATTTTTGACAGCTCGGTAATCGCATCCTCAAAGTTTCTATGAAAACTAAACAGCGCCCCTAGCGGACGTAAGAACAAACTAGCTTTTTCTATATAAAATTTGATGATGACGAAACAATTACAGAGCTGTTGAAATTCGTGCTTTTGGGTTCGCCCTTTCTCCCTATTCGTTCAAAAGGGAGGCACTGTGCCCCAAAAGTGGGAACATACACAGGCTGATGATAAATATGAACAGTCTTCAACAAGGCATTAATATAAAGAAAATCATATGAAAATGCGACGCTATCAAAAACAAAAAGTAATTTTAGTAGCTGTTCATGTATTTACCTGAAGATCGATACTGCCCGAGCGTCCAGTGGTAAGCTAGTAACAACAGCACACATATGAATTCCCTAGCGATACAAACTACACAACATATAAAGGCGGGTCTCCAACGCGTGTTTCGCCCTACATGATCAACAAACTCATATCAAGATTCGAGAAAATCGTCTAACAAAACTGTATTTAACAACATACTTGTTTGCATCAACAAAGTTTTTAGCTCTCCGAACCCGATGGAAAATAAGTACGCAATCCCCCCCGGTCGAGGGGCAGGGAACTGTTTCATCCATAGAGTTATAAGAATAGAGTGGGGAAGGCGGCTCTTAAAGTGTCCGTCTAGTAGAAAGAGAAAGAAGATGAGAGACGGCTAGCTATCTCTCTCTCTTGTGACGCATGGCACCCAATGGCATCACATCGAAATAGTAAGATGCTTACGGTTGCCAATGCGCATGTGCGATTAGAGAGAGAAAGCTAGCGGTCTCTCATCTTCTTTCTCTTTCTATTAGAGAGAATTTCAACTTGTACTAGAGTCTATATTTCTCCTACTCTATTCTTATATGTCTATGGTTCCATCGGCCATTTTTTTTGACAGCTCGCTAGCGGGCTCTCCGTTCCAAACCTACGCTCAGAGTAAAATTTTTTACTGTGACATAAAACGTACGAAGCTTTTGTCAAATTTAACATTTGTTACACCGGGATCGTAGTTTTTGAACGCAGCCCTGTATATTTTGTGAACGACAGCCACGTGAGCAGTAAAAGGTCAGTGTAGAGCTACATGTTTGAGAAATAAAGTTTTGTGTATGTGTTTTGTTGAATGTTTTCAAAACTTTAGCTAGACACCCGACTTAATACATACTCCAAAAAGAGAATTGAAGACATGATTTTCTATGCGAGTACTAAGCAATACCACACGTAACCTCTCATACAGTGTCATACAGGCTCAGAGGCCCAATCACGAACTTCGACAGCTCCGTACTCTTAGTACGATCCACTATCGATTTTGTTTTAAACTTTCATGGTCACTAACATTATAGTAATATAAGTTATTTACGGGATTGTTACCATGCACCATCGGATACTCGCTAAAAACAAGGTACATGGTAACAATCCCGTAAATAACTTATATTACTATAATATCGTATTTGAATAGTTGAAATCGATCAATTTTATATGGGTAGTAGTAAATGTATACTGTACCCCTAGCACGAACCATTATCGAATTCGAATAGTTTGCAAACCGAAATGTTAATATCAAATTTTGTATGGAAACTAGAACAACAGCGGCACAAAGTACGTAACGAGAACCAAAAATCAGTACACATTTGACAATGACATTTCGGACTCGCAAACGATACGAATTCGATATTGATTCGTGCTAGGGGTACTGATTTCTAGTTCTCGTTAGGTTCGTCTGCTGTTCAAGTTTCCATACAAAATTTAACAGTGACATTTCGCACTCGCAAACTATTCTAATTCGATATTGGTTTGTGCTAAAGGTAGCATAATCGTATCGCATCGTTAAAGTTTCTGTGAAAACTAAGCAGCGCCCCTACCGGAAATAACAACAAACCGGCTGCTTTCATACAAAATTATGATTAAGAGACGATTTCGGATCTGCTAAAGTTCGTGGTTGGGCCTCAGAAGAGAGCTTCATTTCTGTCTCGCACACATTGATGTTGCGTTTACACGCAGTTTCAAGCAGAATTCATTAGCGACTAGCGATACTTCGTACATTTTATTTAGTACCACAAACTATTATATATTGTTTTAAACTTTCATGGTCACTAACATTATATTAATATAAGTTATTTACAGGATTGTAGACCGATATGTCTGCCAATAACAGCCTCCTCGCAATTACTTCAGTTACTCCGTGGTCATGGCGCTTGCAACAGTGCCGAAATATCGGAAACTCGCTAAAAACAAGGTTCATGGTAACAATCCCGTAAATAACTTATATTACTACAAACTATTATGTAGCCAAAAGTACGGATTTGGTCCTCTTTGAAAATAATTACTATAGTGGCGTGGCTGTTCGTACTCTCATCCCTATTTCCTAAGGTTACCACGGAAGATCAGCGTCAGACAGTCTACGACATCCGACACGTACTGAATGGACTGCGATTTTAAAGATGCAAATGTTTAGACCTAAATTATTGTATATATGTATAAGGTATATTGTTTCATGTATTAATTTGTGTTACTGAATAAAACATTTTTTTCTTCTTTCTTTCTTTTTCGGTGTAAACGAGGGGTTAAAGAGGAATGCTTCCATATCATTTATAATTCGTTGCGTAGGGCTACCATCTGTCGGGATTAGGCCGGACATGTCCGGACTTTTAAACTATAGTTTGAAAATTGTCCCGATTTAAATTACATTGAATATCAATAATAAAAGTACATATTGATTTAAATACCATACCATTGTAACTAAGTGAGTAATGGTACCATTTTTTGACTAAAAAGTCCGGACTTTTTTCGAAAGTCAAGATTTTTGTCAGGACTTTTGAAATTTATAATGGTAACCCTTGTGTCGCGTCATATTGTTTAATACTACTAACCTCTACGTCGTTAGTGTTCTCTCGGTCGGGGAGTGGCCTCAGCCGCTTCTTCGAGCGTGGATTCGTGTCCGTGGTCGCCGCTGGCCGTTTAGGTTGGAACTGTACCAAAAACATATATATATAATGAATTTATCTTTGATTTTCACGCACATCACTCATTAAATAAAACAAGTTTCAACTGATTAGATGCACTGATTTTATTTACTTATTGACGTTTCGCATCTTTTGCAGGAATGCACCGTCGGAATAGTGATTTTTATTTTCTTTGTCGAGCTATCTTCTAAAGACTTCTATTGATTCATTAGTCTTTTTAATGAGATGCATTAAAAGTCTATTTAATGAGCTCATTAAAGCGCTCTTGCGCGCTCGTGGGGATTCGAACCTCTGAAAGGAACTCGCGGAGATCGAAGCTTTGGGAGCGAGACCATATCATTGATAAATAATTAGTAATAGGGTTCCGCTTGGGGCCGTAAAGGATAGCTTAACCAACAAAACATACCTGTAGTTTAGGCGGCAGGAATACGCGCGTATTGACGAAGTACTCGCCCTGCGGTGCGAAGTACATGGTGGGGATTCGAGCCTGTGAAGGGAACTCGCGGAGATCGAAGCTTTGGGAGCGAGACCATATCACTGATAAGCAGTAATAGGGTTCCGTTTGGGGCCGTAAAGGATAGCTTAACCAACAAAACATACCTGTAGTTTAGGCGGCAGGAATACGCGCGTATTGACGAAGTACTCGCCCTGCGGTGCGAAGTACATAGTGGGGATTCGAGCCTCTGAAGGGAACTCCCGGAGATCGAAGCTTTGGGAGCGAGACCATATCACTGACATGGCCAGATCGCATACCGCCCACAGTTTCTGTGTGGAAACAAAACGGACCTAGATTAGTAAATATAAAAACGGATATGTGCTATTTTCACTCGCAATAGTAGTGAAACCTACAAAAGTGTGAACATGGAAAAGTCCGTCAGGACTAGGTACGTCTTAAAGTCAACACCTGTGTTAAAATTCAACTCTACGTCAAAATCAAATATTTTACACTACTTAAATTGTTTCGAAAAATGAATAATATATCTTTAAAGGCATTGTTAAACTAATCATTTTAAATGAAACAATATTATACTATTTAATTTAAGTTATATTTCTCGTAAACAAAATAATCTTTATTACTTAGACACCAAGTTTCATAAATGTAATTGCGATCGCACGCTCCATGTGAGGAATTTTAAGTAAACTATTTTAAAGGTTAGATAATGTAAAGCACGCATGCTTATATGCTAGTAAATTTGACAGCAATTGCTGCTTTTAATTGCCTTAATAAAAGAGCATGTTAAATAAATACTACTGTCTAGTTTACAATTACAAAATACGAATACCATTTGAAATGATTCCAATCAAAAGAGAAAACTAGACATTACGAATTTGCGATGAAACCGACTTATAAAGAGGAAAGATTTGCGTTTTTGTATGTTTGTAACGAATAAACTTAAGAGGACCGATTTCAAAAAATCATTCATGATCAGAATCTTATAATGTATAACTCCTGAGTAACAAAGACTATATTTGATCGCATTAAAATATAGATTAGCAGCGCAAAGCCGGATCCTTTATTGATGTGTAACATCTTTCCTATTGCTTTCCTGCAATTTGTGGGAGTGACTTCGTGAAATGAGGCGGAAGTGTGTAACGGGAACTCGCGAGAGCGTGCGCTATTTGATTTGATTTTAGAACATAATGTTCAAATGGCTTATTCCTTTTGCACTAGTAGGTTTTATTTCTTTCTTCAGGTTAGGTTTCAAATGTTACACACTACTACGACTACTGTAAGGTTCGCTCGTTTTTTTATGTATATAAACAAAAAATAAAATTTCAATAATACCATCTTCCAATATTCCATCAGAGGAACCAGCAATCATTCACAAAATATAATGACATTTGGCGTTTTACTTACATAGTTGAATGTGTCATCTGTCTCATTCAGAGCATCCTTATGGTTCTTCATGCGTTCCACCAAGCTCTTGTAGAATCCGTAGCAGTAGAAGTCGTTGCGGGTTATGAGCGGCTCCAATACGAACCAGAGGCAGTTCTTCACTGTCTGCAAATAGATGCGAAAGTCGAATGACATATTATTGAAGTAAAACTTCATTACGCACGCTTAACTAGGGGGGTAAGCTGGCGAATGCGTTACGCGTTACGAAAAGTGTGTTCGGACGACGCGAACGGGAGTTGAGTGGGGGATATAAGCAAGAGAAAGGAGTTCGCAGTGGTCGGTCATAGGATGGGTAACCAAAAATTTACTATCTTGAGCTCCTCCATGCTTCGGAAGGCACGTTAAGCCGTTGGTCCCTGCTGCATCTGCAGTTGGAACCACCCACCAATCTGCAATGGGCCCGCTTGGTGAGTCACAACTCTGTCATCTTATTCCATCCATAGGGAAGGCCTGAGCCCCAGCAGAGGGTGCATTAATAGGCTGGCTGATGACAATTATTATGTTGGTACGCTTTTAACCACGGGTCCGTGGAGACTAGAGACTTTTTAGTACCTTCATCTATACATATAATAAAATGGTAGGAAAATCAAAATTGTACATTGAATATTTAAAAAAAAACTTGGGGTGTGATCTACAATCAATACCGAAGCCAAAAATAAAGTTTTTAGATTTTTTGTCTGTAAATCTGTATATATGTCCAGGATAAACCCAAAAAAGTACTGTATGGATTTACTTCAAAGGCACGAATACTGTTTAGAAGTCGGGTCAACATATAGGCTACATATTATCACGCTATCACCTATGGGGAACGAGCAGTGATCCTTTAATTTCTTCAACGCATTCTGTAACACCGTGTAATCTTACGACGCATACTTGAATGTTGTTATTATGTTAACCATGCTATAAGCTAGCTTCATACTATAATTAACTTAGGCTGATAAACATAATAGACAATTTTACAGCAGCGCCATCTATGAGATTTCAAAAACATCAAGTCTCATTATTAGGTGCTTATACATAGCACTTTTTGTATATAAATAATAAATAACTAACTCCACGCGTACAAAGTCGCGGGCGGCCGCTAGCTATTATAATGATTACACAACACATACCTGTAATTGCGTCACGTTATCGTAGGTGGTGAAGGCGGGATCGTGTGCCAGCACTGGCACCGCGAACACGAGCATGTAGTCCGGCAATATGTGCGGCAACTGACTGACGGCGCGCTCCACTGGGGAACGAGACGTTTATTTAATTTTTTTATGGATAGATCGGACAAGTCAGGGGTAGGTATACAATCAAAATTGGTCAAGTCCACAAAATTTTAAAAGTGAGATTTAAATTTCAACACATTCGTTTCCATATCTTTACTTATCCCGTAGAATAATTTTATACAAATTCTAGAAATATCGACTGTTTATTTTCAAACTCAAAATTGACTTTACAAACAAACGTAGCAAAGTCCAAGTGAATTAAGTTTCAATTTGCATAAAGTCCTTTTGACCAATAGGTAGGTTCCATTGCCTCCATTTCACTGACAGCTGTCATGGCCGCCTTTGATGAATCCAACCCTGTCCAGAGAGTTGGTAACAAATATAGGAAAGTCCTAAACATTTAGTTAGTAAACTTAGTAAAGTCCAAAACTTGGTAACATAACTGGGAAAGTCCATCTTATACTTAAGGTTTTACTCAAAAGTATTGAACTGAATGTGATGAACACTTGTATTTCCATAATGTATTAATAAATTTATTTATTGTCACATAAATTGATTACATACTTGCTTCTAATGTAGTCCCTGACCCCTATAAGAGGATAAAGACCTGTGTGACAGGGGTCAGGAAATAATGTTTAACTTAAATAATGTGTAAATAATGGTTAACATTGGAATAGTTACCTGTAATTATTAAAATAACCGTTTTTATGGTTTACTGAACATTTTGGCAATGTGGACTTTACCAACTATGATTGGATACTCCTCAAATGACCAGGGGGCCAATCGCCTAACGGAAATGCTTTGGGAAACGCTAACGCTTACGATTTTATATTGTTATTTCTAGCCGCCAGAGGTTTTCGAATACCTCACGCTCATTTTTTTAATATTGTTATTACCAATGCAAAAGAAAAAGAAAGAGCGCGAGGCATTTGAATACCTCAGGCGGCTAGAAATAACAAAATAAAATCGTATGCGTTAGCGTTTTCCAAAGCATTTCCGTTAGGCGATTGGCCCCCTCACGCTCACGAGCTCACGAAAACTATCAAAGTTTTTGTAATTGTAAATTATGTTTCTATGTCCATTTTGGTGAAAAGTAACCAAATATACTTAAAATTTAAGAAGACGCGAAAGATTTAATGATAGAAGTTAGACACTGTTTATTTGTATTGAAACGTAAACAATAAAATCAGTACCCTAAGTACGAGTTCGAGCGCACGAAAACTATCAAAGCTTTTGTAATTGTAAATTATGTTTCTATGTCCATTTTGGTGAAAAGTAACCAAATATACTTAAAATTTAAGAAGACGCAAATGATTTAATGATAGAAGTTAGACACTGTTTATTTGTATTGAAACGGAAACAATAAAATCAGTACCCTAAGTACGAGTGCGAGCTCACGAAAACTATGATAGTTTTCGTATTTGTAAAACTCGTACTAAGGGTACTGTCCCCATAGCATGAGCAGAACGATACACATTATATCACATGTTTTATCGCTAACTGTTGAACCCCACAGTAATTCGTTATTAATCATATCACGGTGCTCATGCTCGGGGGGCTGATGTTAAGTGTCGCTAGTGCAGATGTGATTTTTTGCTGACGTGATGATCCAGTATTCAACAACATTACCTCTAAACGGGGAGATATACACACAGACGATGGGACGAGCTCGGTGGCCCAAGTGGTTAGCGCGATCGGCCGCGATTGTTGACGTTAAGCAACTTTCGACGTGGTCGGTCATTGGATGGGTGACAAAAAATTTACTATCTCAAGCTCCCCCGGGCTTCAGAAGACACGTGTAAAGCCGTTGTTCCCGGCCGCATCTGCAGTCGTTAGCACATACCAATCCGCACTGGGCCCGCATGGTGGGTCATGGCCCAATCTCCCTATACATTATAAAAATAAATTATTATTGTTATTAGATTTACTTGACCCACCAATAAGGAATCGAATTTGAATAAACGCCACAGATGTAGAACACAAATTTGGAGACAGAAAATCCATGGAGAATTATCGCGTTATTAAATTTTAGTTTTCATTACCTGTCTTGACAGAGAGGCAGATAAACGACGGAATCATTTTTATTTTTGACAGCTTTAAGGAGCTGCTGACCTGAGTATATAGTATAAATTTCAACTCGATACCTCCACGCGTTCCCAAGATAAAGGTTCTTAACAGACAGACGGACAACGAAGTGATTTTATCAAGGGTTCCGTTTTCCTTTTTGAGGTACAGAACCCTAAAAAACATTAAATTGATGAGGAGCTGGCGAGCAAAACGGTATAATTACATAAAATTAAATTTTACAGGAGCTGTATATAACTGAATGACATACCTCCATTGAGCCTTTGGCATGGTTTTTAATTTATAAATTCAGTAATGTTAACACTGTTTTAGGCGGTTTTGATTGAAAATTATTTGAGATTCTAATTCAACGGGGCCGAATCCTTCGGACTGTAAAAAAAAAGTAGTTTGACCAGGGGGCCAATCGCCTAAGGGAATTGTTATGGCTATCGCTATCGCTATATTTTCATCTTGTTATGTCGGACCGCTGAAGCTTTTCAAACACCCTGTGCTCTTTTTTTCTTTTGTTTTGGTAATACTACAACAATATCAAAGAAAATTAGCGTAAGCTAATTGAAAACCTCCGGCGGTCAGAAATAACAAAATAAAATCGTAAGCTATAGCGATAGCCTTAGAATTCCGTTAGCCGATTGACGCCATGATGCGTAATTATACAGTTTTGTTCGCCAGCTCCTCAAATAAAACCAAAGGGTCATTTCAACCTACCTTTAGTGCCTACAGTAATGTTGCGTATATACTCGCGTCGTCGCACCACGTCAGCCATCATGTATTGTCGTATGACGGCACGAATTTTACGGTCCGGTTCCCGTCCGGCTAACGCGTACATTCCCATGAAGTCCAGCGGTAAACATTTGTTGGGAATACCCTGTGAGAGAAGTAGTATTTAAATAAATAATTATAATAAATAAATAAATATTTCCAAAACACTCACACCAATTAGCCTAGCCCCAAAGTAAGCACTGTAAGGCTTGTGTTATGGGATACTAGGATAACGGATAGAATAACATCTAGAGCAAAATTAACATCTAGAGCTCCTTCGTGCTTAGGAAGGCACGTTAAGCCGTTGATCCCGCTGCATCTGCAGTCGTATGTACCCACCAATCCGCACTGGGTCCGCGTGGTGGGTCACGGCCTAACCTCCCTATTCCATCCTGAGGGTAGGCCTGTACCACAGCAGTGGGGACATTAATAGGCTGATGGTGATGATGAAACATTTTGACAAATCAAATATCCGCAAATGAATTCGGGTATCCATTATCCATTGTGTCGGATAATGTCAAACAGAAATACCAACCGAACCCATGATCGGCGTGTAGATCGCAGTTTTTACGACCCGCCCACTTGATCGAAGTTTCCGTGAAACCACTTTTTAGCGAAGTTCTTATTCCATATTATTTCTAATTCTTTGGTAGTAGGTCATATCATGGTACAATCTCCCTATTCCATCCACAGGGAAGGCCCCAGCAGTGAGAATACTTATAAGCTTAGATGATGATGATCAACAGATATATGAAGCTAGTTTGAATTTATTTATGTGATATAAGAAAATGATTGAATTTAAAGTAAATATAAACGAAGTGAATTATATTGTATACCTTTGATAAGCCTTTGTGTAGTTTCGCAGCGAAAGCTTCTCGTACTTGTGGCACCTCATCCTAAAATAAAAAGGTTCTAGATTTAAAAACACATAAAATAATTTTTATTAACATTATAAAATCGAAAGCTGATTTGGATCTACTATTATTTTAATAAGTTTTTTTCTGTGACAGTAATTTCAAACAATTTATTTGTGAAAAAATATACTGGTATCTTAATTTTTATCGCCTATAGCCTAAGGATAAAGTAAATTAAATTGTTTCGAAAAATAAACAATAGCTAGAAAAAGAAAAAAAAAGAATTTAAACAAATACAGAGCTCAGGATCAAACCACCGTTCAGTTGGTGTCGACCCCAAGACTGTTACCGTTCGGCTATCCGTCTCTTATAGTAAATGATAAAATTACGGATCTTGTGTCAAATACTCTGTTTCCGTTTTATCGAATCTCAAATCACAACTGAGCTAAAGAAGATTTCACTTCATTAAAAAATGAGTAGCTGGCGAACAAAACGGTATAATTACGCATCTGATCAAACTACTTTTTTTACAGTCCGGAGGTGTCGGGCCAGTTGAATTTGAATCTCAAATATATTTCAATCAAAACCGCCTAAAACCTGTGTTAAAATTACTAAATTTATAAATTAAAAACCATGCCAAAAGCTCACTAGTATGTCACTCAGTTTTATATAGCTTCTGTAAATTTGAATAGGGTATTTGATAGTATTAAAAATAAAGTGCCAATTGTTAGCATCTGTATTTAGAATGAATATTGGCAGGGGTTTTTACTATTTTTACAAAAAATATATTCATTATTTTACTAAAAACCCACGAAAAAGATAATAGTTTTCTTATCTATTGTCACGTGACCCAATACGCTTGGGATTGGCGGAGCCTTAAATGACGTCACACGCAAGTAAACTTCCGGTTAAAGTGACATGAGATTGTATCGTTTGACGTTTTAATAACAGTCGTATGAGTCACACTAGTAGGACGCCATATTGTCCAGAAAAACGTTTTCGCGGCAACTTGAAAATGGAGTTTTTGATTTGGTTATTTTTACTGAAATACACAACAGAATGATGAATATCCACTTTATACGGACTCCTTAAACATTGGTCAATAACGTGAGATAGTTTTCTAAAACTTGTCAAATACCCTATTTTATGTATTATACTGTTTTGTTCGCCAGCTCCTCAAATAAGAGTCAATACTTTTTGATAATGATCTATCTGATAGACGAATAAAAATAAGTCGGTCGTCATTCCTATTCTTTCTAAATAAATAGTTTAAAAATTTACTCACAATCATGAGATGTGACAGGTTATAGAACTGATCTGCGGTGAACTGATCGCCAATAGAATAAATATTTTATTATTATACAATCTATTCTGGAAATCATGCTTTTTGGTGATAGGACTGACACGTTCTTTAGGGTCAAACGTCGTTAATAAAGAAATAGTAAACATTCAGTTTTGAACATGTTGATTAAAATAATAAACGGGATGACTACTGTATACAGCGCAACCACAATCTCGTGGCATTTTTATGACATTGACACAATAATATTTGATACCCTAGATGCAACAACACGAACAAAATCGTGACCGAAAATGATCATAAGGTGTATTGGACGATCCACGGAGCTCCGTAAGATGATCGCGTTGTCAAAAACAATATAAGGCATTATTTTCACATTGAAAGTAACCTTTAATGTATAGTGTATAAGGTCTTAATTTAAACGCTTGCGTCAAAGAGTTATTACAATAGGAAAGAATCTCGGAAAGAGTAATAGGAAATTTAAGATTTATTTGCACCTTCCTCTATAAAATTCCAAAAATTAGTTCAACAAGGATGATGCAGTGTAAACTTCACCTTGATGTTTCAGCACTGTCGTATGTGCCATTATCACGGAGAAACCAGAATAATAGAGGGATTTAAGTGAAAAAGAGTAAAGTAGAGACAGTAATAAAGGGAGCAAATACCTAGTTTAAATTTAACTCACAATCATCAGATGGGATAAGTTATAGAACTGATCTGCGGTGAATTGATCTCCAACTCCTTTTTGTTCGCAAATCTTGAGCATGGCGGCGCCCGCAGCTAAGCGTAAATGTGCCATCTCTGCTTGTGACACTTGGTTTTGCTGTAACAATAAACGTCATATGAGTAACGAGTATATTGAACGCGATTTACAAAAGGTGAACGCTTTCTTATGCAAAAATCTTGTTTTTATACTGACATAAAATTAAAATATAATAACTATGTAATATAAATATATTATAAATATAATAATACTTGTATTTTGTTTGACCCTACAACGCGAAGTGATGGCGCTGCCTTGCAGCCTAATCAATACTAGAAGAAATTCAACACGGTCATTAGGGTCGCAGTAGCATGAGTCAGTGCATCCGCCCGGATAGGTTCGAGCCCCGTCTGCTCCCTGGGCCGCGCGGATGATAGTCCATCCCTCTTCAGCTCCAGTAACCATCGAGCCATACACTTATAACATACAAGTCTTTTCCTAAATCCTACAAAATTGTTACTTTGTTAATCGTACCTGCAATAAGTCTCCTTTATGCACAATGAAAGCGTTCAGCATCTGGAACGTCTTCTGATATGATAGTCCATCCCTCTTCAGCTCCAGTAACCATCGAGCCATACACTTATAACATACAAGTCTTTTCCTAAATCCTACAAAATTGTTACTTTGTTAATCGTACCTGCAATAAGTCTCCTTTATGCACAATGAAAGCGTTCAGCATCTGGAACGTCTTCTGATATGATAGTCCATCCCTCTTCAGCTCCAGTAACCATCGAGCCATACACTTATAAGATACAAGTCTTTTCCTAAATCCTACAAAATTGTTACTTTGTTAATCGTACCTGCAATAAGTCTCCTTTATGCACAATGAAAGCGTTCAGCATCCGGAACGTCTTCTGAGCTGATAGTTCGTCCCTCTTCAGCCCAAGTAACCATCGGGCCATACACTTCAATCCTTCCAGTTTGCATCGAGTCGCTTCGGGGAGTTCTGATTCTTCGCACCATTGGCCTGTGGGCGCTTCTGCACCGCCACCGCCTTCGCGAACTAGTAATTCTTTCACTATCTACAAATAAAACATTATCATTATATTAAATTATTATTATTATGATGAGTTAAGTTGCTCGAATTAATGAATTTTATTTTTATAAAAAAATCCGTGCTACAGAAGGCTCGTTAAGCCGTTGGTCCCGGCTGCGTCTCTGCAGTCATTAGCACCCGCACTAGACCTGCGTGGTGGGTCACGGTCCAATCTCCCTATTCCATCCATAGGGAAGGTCTGTTCCCCTGCAGTGGGGGCATCAATAGGCTGACGACGCCTATGACCGGCAATTGCAGAAGTTGCTTAATTTCACTTTTCTTAAGATGGGGAAGCTGTCCGGCAGGTTAAAAGCTATGTTACTGTGGCTTTCCACGTCTCCAATTTTTGGTCACCCATCCTAAGACCGGACATTGCGAAAGTTGCTTAACTACCACTAACTCACATTTCTTGAGACGATATTCTTGATGTGCACCGGGAAGTTTTCCGGCAGATTGTGATCTATGTGGCCGAGTCACTATGGCGGTGCGGTAATGTTCCGAAGCCGGGCTTAAAGTGGCTTTCAGTTTCCAAGTTTTGATCACCTATTCATGGACCGGCCACTCAGAAAGTTGCTTAACTTCCACGATCGATTATTATCTAAATGTCAAACTCACCAGATTGTGCGCTATGTGGCTGAGTCACTATGGTGGTCCGCTAAATTTATAAGATACGCTTAAAGTGGCTTTCAATGTCACCAAGATTTGGTCACCTATCTTATGAGAGGGAATTGTGAAAGTTGCTTAACTACCACTAACTCACCTTTCTTGAGACGATATTCTTAATGTGCACCGGGAAGTTGTCCGGCAGATTGTGAGCTATGTGGCCGAGAGTCACTATGGCGGTGCGGTAATGTTCCGAGGCCGGGTTCAATGTGGCTTTCAATGTTTCCAAGATTTCAGTAAAGATCTGCGTGCGTTGCTCGGGTACGTTCACGAATAGACACCTACGACACAGGTGAAAACGTTTTAAATAGGCTAGTTTTAGGAAATATGTTTCAAATGGTTAATAATTGTTCTATTAGACCGAAAAAAATGTATAGTATTTTTTTTTACAGAGAAAACTACGAAACTTTAATTTTAAAATGGATTTTTCATGGACATACAAAAACACTGTCGGCCATTTTAGTCTATAGATTATCTATGCTGTGACGTCAACTAAATTGTAAACAAACACTCGCAAGCACGTAGGAAATAACCTGAATCTGAATTTATATCATAAAACTTTGATTTCTAATAGATTTCATGATAAATATAGTAATTATCATGATTGTATTATATGAGAACGTATAGAAAGAAACACATCGTTAAAGACTCCAGAAAAGTTGTGGTTTAAATTGCCTAAAGATGCTTTCAAATTAAATTACTACAGCCATCTTCTAATTTTATGAAGTGAAATCGATGTATTTAGGTTCCTTATACCAAAAATTATAAGAAATTAACATTTGTATAGTGCAATTTTATATGAATCAACTAGCCTATTATTAAGAACTAGCGAATCGAGACCTCTTTCTGTAACTTTCTTGCTTTGCGATCTTTTTTCATAGTGTAAAAGGCAACTGTTACTGACTGATCTATCAATGCACAGCTCAAATCACTGAACGGATTGCGCTGAAATTTGGCACATATAGCTATTACGGTGTAAACGTGCGCTATGGAAGGATTTTCCAAAACTCACCCCCTAAAGGGGTAAAACGGGGGTTTAAACGTTAACACGGACGAAGTCACTGCCGCTAGTATATCATAATTAGGAAAGGGATTTATAATGCCACATTGAAGCTTTTCTTTACATTTGAAGGCGAGAGCAGAAAAGACAATTAACCCTACAATTAGCCTATGCCCGGATGAAATTAATTTGGACACTATAAAAGAAAGCCGATGTCATTCAGGAATATTTTATTATAGCTTTTTACTGGTAAATAATGTCGTTATTAATAACTTTAACTTGAAATCCTGCATGTATCAGTCGCAAAAATAATAGTATACTTCAGTATGATTGCAATTAATTTTGTAATAAATACCTGACAGCATTTTTTGCTTGTTTCGGCGTTCCCACTTCAGCGTAAGCCTTGCATAGTGTGATCAGTCTTGGAAATAGCGCTGGGCACGCTTCACCTGAAATTGAAGAGTTGACAGTGTCAGGAATACGTCAAGTTACTGCAAAAGTGACAAATATTCTCATTTGATTGGGAATCTTATATCTATCATGGTACAGCTTATTCAGTCGAAGAGATTTGGCAGTTTATGGAAACTTGTAGCTCCATGTATAACTAAAGGCGAAAACCACTCGGTACCCAATGTAAATAATCAGAGGAAATGAGAAAAAGTTTTCTTTGGAAATTATAAATCAAGCAGTTAAATGCCTTATTTTATTTAAAAATTCATAAAATTCATTCAATTCAAATACAATTCAATAAAATAAAATTTGGTCAAATAAACACGTTGGCGCAAAGGTGGCCATTAAGGTTGCAGCATTGCCATGCTGGATGGCAATAGTTAAATGCTTGAAAAAATAACATAGTAAACTACTCACTGAACGATCGGTATACAGATTACATCGTCCAATTCCAGTAATGAAGTGAGTCGGCTCAACACATTCACGTGTAGGAAGTGAGCGAAGAACAGTGTAGCAGCAGCGGTGTAGTGGGCACATTAATGGGCCGATTATGATGATGAACTTATATTAATTACTGAGCAGTCTGCATTTCCCTACGAAGGTGCGACGAGTATGTGCGGCGCTACAGATTCATCGTCCAATTCCAGTAGTGAAGAGAGTCGGTGCAACACGTTGTCGTGTAGGAAGTGAGCGGGTATTACAAAGGATCCTTAGATTTATAAATCAGACCATTTAATGCTTGAAATAAAAACAATAAAATACTTACTGAGCGGTCGGTATCTCCCCAGGAAAGTGAGTGCGGCGAGTATGTGCGGCGCTACAGATTCATCGTCCAATTCCAGTAGTGAAGTGAGTCGGCTCAACACATTCTCGTGTAAGAAGTGAGCGGGGAACACGAAGGATAACATCACTAGCAGCTTGAGACCGCGTTCGGCGCACTTGTCTAGGTCAATGCCTGGTAACGAAAAAATAAAGTATTTTATACAAATTACGAAATAAAAAGCACCATAATCCATCCTCGCGTCTCGGAGAACATCAACATAACTGAAAAAATTCGCCTGTACTATTTTATAAAATCGGTTGAGAGGTCAATAAGATTAAATGGATTATGAAGTCAGGTGTAGAATAACTTCTAATGTAACATCTCAAATAATGTTGCTGCAAGACACAATAATAATCGACTCAACGTTTCCTGTCAAAACTGTAAAGTAAAAGGATAGAGAGCTCAGTACATTCTCTATACGTATGATCAGAAATAAATTATGATTTTATTTATTTTTTTAAGCATTTAACTGCTAGATGTTTAAATCTAAAGAAAAGTTTACTAGAAAAAAATCCACGCGGACCACGCAGCGGACGGGACTCGAACCCGCATCCTTCGCTATCCAGGCGATGCACTGACCATTATATTATAGGGCCGTGGTAGCATAATGGTCAGTGCATTCGCCCGGATTTTTTTCTAGTAAACTTTTCTTCAGAAATAAATTGTTTGTTAATTCAGGTGTTGTCGTATTCTATTGCTAACGTAAATAATGTTTCAGCACTTAAAATGTGACAGGCACTCACCACACTCGTCGGCGATGCTTGTGTCGCTGCCTTTAACTGCGGACTCCACGTATCCGACCAGTATGAGCAGTGATTCGTGGTCTATCATCACAGAGCTGACTCGCTCCAGTAACATCTTGACAGTATTGTAGTATAAGTTTGTCATCACCGGTTGTCCAAGACGTTTTAACACGCTCGACTGTAGTAAAGAAGTATAGTCTTAATAAGGTAGCTTTCATATATTTACTTAGGGTATTGAGAAAAAAACGTCTAATGCAATAGTACATTGTGCACCGAGGGGAGAAAGTGACCGATTACCAACGAGGGTATAGTTTGAGACCCGTCACGCAGCCAAGGGCCTTAATACACTCAAGTTGATTTCACTGGTAATAGGTTCTCAATGACTGCTTAGGTAGTTTCTTTTAATTCTGGCGGTGTCAATAAATTATCATTATTATATAATTATGCCGCCTCGAGTAGACAGGAAAACAAATTAAAAACTCAGTTATAATAAAATAATCCGGGCGCTTTTTACTTTTTATTCCTTTTTCAAAATCAATGTTCAGAAAGTTAATAGCACCACTACCTAGCTGTTTCGGAACAAAAATTAAAAAAAAAAGGTAACAATGAATTTTCAGTCTTTTTCTGCCCGCTCAGCGCGTTAACAATGGATTTTCATACACTTTTGGAGGCCCGGGTGCAACATCGCACGGCGGTTTTATGTGTAGACTTAATGTTAGTAAATGTTTTTCTAATATTGACTAGAATGCATGTATAAAGGTTGGAGAACGGATAGATAGCGCCTAATATAGTGGAAACCTCACTACAATTTGTAGTAAAATTCGAAACGAGAATAATTAATAGCTAAATAGGTCAATGAAAGCAGTTTAAAATCTTTGCATTTGCCATAGGACACTCTATTAATACATCAATGATGACATTATCTTTATAGATTTGAATATGAAATTTAAATAAAATGTTATCTTAATCGCATGTATCATAAAAATCAACATAATCTTAGATAGATTTCTCAGTTGAAAATTGAGAGAATTTGGAACAAAACCATTCAAAACATGTATATATAAATAAATAAATATTTCCAACACTCACACCAATTAGCCTAGCCCCAAAATAAGCACTATAAGGCTTGTGTTATGGGATGCTAGGGTAACGGATAGAATACATATATTGTACATATGTAAGTATATTTATATAGAAATACATATTAAACATCCATGACTGGAGTACAAATGCTCGTATTCATCACACAAACATCTGCCCCCACCGGAATTCGAACCCGGGACCTCTCCAATCGGCTACAGCATTAAACCCGGCGTACAAACCACTCGTCCACGGAGGTCGTCATATAAAATAGAACAGGGTTTTTAACATTTAAGTAAGTATTCACTGAATAAAGGACAGTTCATAAATATCTAACGGGAGGTCGAATAACTTAACATAAAGAGTCTCCCAATTACTCTCCCAATGACGTTTTCGTATTGAATTATTCTGCCAAGTCAGGTCAGCTGTTATGGTGTAATCGCCATTGTGAATATTAATTCGATACTTTCTGCTGACAACATTTATTATAATATATGAGAGATTGAAAAATGCAAACAATAATTTTATGCAGTTCCTTTTGAGCAATAAAAATAGTCTGGTCGCCTATAATGACATGACTGTAATTTGCGGAAACAACTTTACTTAGTTTCAATAATGAAAATCCAGTAAAAGATAGGCCTAAAATTTTGTTGCTTAGATAATTTTTTATAACAACTGTTGCTAAGAAACGGAAACAGATTGACCTTACCTTTTCCCGGGTTCAAGATTTAGAAAACAACTCACGTTATTTACTGATGTTTATGAAGTCCATAATTCACCATTCTGATGAGTAATTCGTTAAAAAAAAAAAAAAAAATTCCATTTTCAAGTTGTCACGAAAACATTTTTCTGGACATTATAGCGACTCACTGTCTGACGCATCAGAGAGCTATCTGTTTCATACATTTAGTATGGTTAGAGTGAGAACGGTGTCGAGCATCGCGAGCACATAAGTATAGTTCTAACAGTACTAAATGTATGAAACCGATCACGTCACAACACAGCACGGCAGCTAAGCATATTTCTGCTTTTAGAGTATTGGATATAAAATAATAAGTTAGTACTTACAGTGGTACGCACGCAGACTTCGCAGCTCACGTTCGGGTTGAGTATCGTCTCCATCCCCTGCAACAACTCCGGCGCCTGTTTCATATGAGCAGAGAACTTGTTCAGAAATTCCTGCGCCTTCACCGACTCCGGTAAGAACTTCGAACTTATGTGTAACACTTTTGCGATCATTTCCTTTTGTACGGCCGGCGTAGGAGGTTTCCTATGAAGCTCCACCCACTCGGCCACAGTGCGACGAACGGCCAGCTGATGCTTCTGTAACTCTATGAACGCTTTCGTCGCATTGTCGTCAATGTTCGACATCAGGTAATACAGTTTCTTCATACGAACAGGCGCTGGTAAGGTGTACGGTACAAGAGATGTGTTCAACAGCCGCTCGACTAGCAATCTGTCTTCTAACGCTGTCATGTAGTAGCCGTGGAGAATTTTATCTTTGATCCATTGCACCGCCTTCTCGGTGGCAGGTGGAACAGACTCTTCTGTCAAAAACTTCTTGTATATCATGGCGAGACCAGACATGGCCTCTTTTCTAATTTTGAATTTCTTGTCGAGCGTTCTTTCTTTGACGAAATGAAGTAGATCTTCAGACTCAGCCACAGCTTGGAAATCTCTTTGGGCCGTTGCGATTATAGCCATGACGACCTCGTAACGCACGTGCTCGTGCGCATCATGCTGTCTCATCTTCAAGGTCTCCGTTATGTCTTTTCTCAAATCGGGATGGTGCACGAGGAAATGCATGCAGTACTGTACGCACTTTATCCTGATTGGTACCGATATATCGTTGAAGCGACCTAAGAACGCACGCCATAAGGCCGGATATTGCTTGGCTAACTCGGAGCCTGGTTCGGAGAACATTCTAGCTAGCAGCGCCACGCCGCTAAGTCTCTCTTGGAACTGTGCTGATTTCAGTTTGCATTCCAGCTGTGGCAACACAGACAACAGCAGCGAAGGGCAACATTGGTACAATTCGTAGATAAGCTCGAACACTTTGGAGAATATCAATAGGTTTTTCTCTTCTTTGCCAAGTATGAGGACATGATTGAAGAACTGCAACAAAAAAATAAACGTAAATTTTGAGCATTCGATGTAGCGACTATAACAGAAAATGCTAGAATAATTTCTCGACTAAGTAAATACTGTTTTCGTGCAAATACGATAGAACAAAAATTAGGGTACTCTATTAAAATTTTGTCCAGGAGCTCATAACCGGCGCAAAACATCATGGAAACCAGAGAAAAGAATACGCAAAACATACAGAAAATATGACTGTATAATAATAAATATTAAGAAAAAAGTAAATATAAGCTTGTTGCAGGTACAATCACTCGCAACAATTACTTGGTCTCTTAAGTAATAATATATTTTTATACCAAGTATTTACATAGTTACGCAAAAAGCGTCCAAAATTAGAATCGATAAAATTCATGTCAGTTTGTGAGTCATTCATTCACTCAGCTTATCGAACTTTTGTACAGTCAACAACACGAATTGGTAGTAACTATTTCACATTAGGAGATAAGGACTACCTTATAAGTCTACCTATTACTTGTATTGATCGATGTATAACGAAATATAGTTGTTATATACAAGATATTTATTTGTATATGAATTTTAATATACCAATTATTCCATAGCATCTTTGCTAGTCCGCAAACCTAAATTGGCCATCATATTATTTTAAGTTAGACGGGTAAACATAATACATTGATTCAGTGTATAAACAGTGAATACATTTCATTGGTACCTATATCAGATTCGTGCGGTGTCGCGTATATTATCAAAACAACACACCATCGAGTGCCCACGATCAAAATACGTTAACCCCGATGCAAATTGCGTCGACACAACTTTATCACAGCGGGAAGTACCAACTCAAATAGAATCAAGTCGGAAATAGGCAAAAACAACTACCTATAAAAAAAATATTATGCATTTTATGGTTCCGTGCCCTAAAGGGTCAAAGGGACCCCTTTGACCAAAAGGATTTTGAATATCCATTGCCATATGAAGTGCTACTATTGTACCATAGCACGGAACGGAACACTTCCGTTTCAACTGACTCGTACTTGACCGATTCTTTCTATAACTTGAGGAAAAGTTTGTTGTCTATTAAACATACAATTTACATATCGTTGCACCTATACTTGTCAACTCTGAATAAAAAAAAATGCTTATTAAACTGTTGCGCCCTTGTAAGATTTCTTGTTTGTAGTAATAGGAATGATGACTAACTTATTATTATTACGTATATATTATTATAAAACATTACAGAGGTATATTGTGTTGAAATGTCACATGACGTCACGTCTTGGTAAAATTTTTACTTAAGTAACATCACGAGACACCCCTCCCCTCCCAAAAAACACGCTTTATCTTTTGTCATTTTTTAGACGATTGACAAAAGAAAAAATATGTGTCCATGATTTTTACCCGACTGCGCAATGCAAGAGCGCGAAGCACGACGCGTATACAGGGTATAGTGTTTAACAGTCTATATAATATGTATTTTGATAATCTAACAGACAGACCAAATAAGATTTCGTTTAATTAACCCCATCATCATCCCTATTGTAGAATTATAACATCTTTTAAACTAAGTTCATAAGCCGTATTAGAAAAAGGACAAGGCGAACGGTTCATTTCACCTGTGTAAGGTTCAACGTAGGTCAAGAGCAACGGAGAGCAAAGCGTTTTCTAATAACACTCCTTCAATTATTAATTATTATTATCCTTATCGAAATATACATAGGGTTTAAATTGTCCGAGCTACCACATCAAGCTAGCAACTTTATTGTTAGCACATTATAACGTTACGCCCGCCACTATATGTTTGCAGAGTGTGCAGAGAATCAAATTTTCGATATAAACAAATTACTTGGCAAAGCCTGTATGTAACCTCTGCGAAAAAAAGCTATCATTTAATACCTGCGCAGGAAAGTTATCTGGCATATTCAAAGTTTTTGTTTTTAACCGACGAAAAAAACGGAAGAGTTTATTGTTTTTTATTATATTGATCACGCATAGCTTTTTACAGTCTTCTTTCTGATTTTGATAATTCTTTGTTTATTGGAAAAGGTATATATACCCCAAAGTTGGTCCCATGTGAATTTGGAAAAAGAAACAACCCTAAGGGTATGAAAACAGGGGATGATTGATTGTTCACTCAAAGATTTTGATGTCGAGTTGTATATTACAAAAATTATAGGCACAACAAATAGTAAAATAAAAACTTTTTTTACAAAAAAATTAAACCGCCGAGAGGTAAAAAATAATAAACCTTTTTTATCTTTAGTCAAATCATTATTTGGGGTCGGCGGCAGTGCCAGTCTAACCCAAGTAGTAAATGGGAACTCAGATCTATCAGACCTACATAATTTTTAATTCAACACTCCTAATGTAGCAAAATATTTCTTGGCGTGGCAGCAGCAAACAAAAAATGCTATACTAACATACCTATGTTTATTAAAACCCTACTTAATAATCAACGTTTATTATTGTTTCTACTAATTATTTACATTGTAAAATTTCATACATTTTGCATATGTTTATACTTGAGATAATGACTTAAGTGATTATATAATAACGCTTTCCCTTTCATTCGGTAATCGTTGGAGTAACTGGGGTCACATGTGTCGCGTGACCCGACCCACCGAGTTGTAAATGGCTTTTCAATATACCTACCTAGTTTATATGCGAAAACTTCGTGCTAAAATTATAAGCCACGATTTCGTCTGCGGTAACTTTAGTTTTTTGAAAATCTGAGGGATCCTATCACTTTTCAGGAATAAAACGTATCCTATGTCTCTTTCCAGGTCATAAACTATATGTGTACCAAATGACATCCAAACCCGTTCAGCCGTTTTTGCGTAATTGAGAACAAACATACAAACTTTCACATTTAAAATATTAGTAGGATAGAATATAAGAATGAAAAAAAATCTAGCTTGACAGTAAATAATACACGATAACCCTTTGTTCCTGCCCCTCCAGAATGACTACCGAAACGGGATATGATAAAGCGATATATCGGCATTAACTGTCAGAGTACAGTGGAGTTTGACAGTAGTCTGACAGTTAATGCCGATATATCGCTTTATCATATCCCGTTTCGGTGGTCATGCTAGAGGGGCTGACGTCATTATTTGAGATGAGTTGATCGTATACGTTACATAATAATAACCCTTTTATCTTGGATTTTTTTTCTTTTATCTATTACAATATACGAAAAAATAAGGCCCTGTAAATGAGATAATATATCTGATTCCCTATCGCGAACAAAAATTGACGGCCAACTTGGCCTAGCGCTAAAATGGACTGAGGTTTAGTGCCTTTGGTCCATTTTCTTAATCACCTATGGTTCCTTTTTTCACTATTTATAACTCGTTATGAAATAAGTATTTTTTTCCGTTTTCATAACTGGTTAAATAAGTTCCAGTTTATTAATCTAGAAATAAACCTAAATTTCACAACTACGAACTTTCTTAGTTAAAATTTTCTTAGTTGTTTATCTTTACTAAGAAATTGAAAACACTATTATTGTTTCATTACCAGTTAGGATAAAGTCAATAAAAAGTCTTCTTTCGTAGATGGTTAAGAAAATGGACTAAAGGGCTGAGTGATTCTAATTGCAAATCAAGCAGCGATGGGTCCTGAGGAGCCAAATGTTTGTTTGCTGAACACATGAATTTTCCTAATTGTCTTGGATATACTTATACCACTCACTCTGTGTAAAAAGTATCGGGAATATGTCAATAAAAAGACCCGCGTAAAAGTGGTCGTTTTAATTATTTTTACTGCCTGTTGTACACTGTACTGATTTACCAAAATTCGCAAATCGCAAAATTTGAGCGGGATCTGTCATTTAATTTGTTTAAAACTGCCCTTTTTGTTGGTCATCGTTTTGAGTCCTCGGTGATTTTTGGTTGAACAAAGATTGTGCCTTAAATTTTGTGTTTCGAATGAGATTTCATGTGGTGAATCGCAAAAAATGTTGCAAAAAATCTACGGCGCATCGTGCATATCAAAATCAAGGGCATATGAATGGTATAAGGCTTTTAAAGAAGGCCGAGAAGTAGTAGTAGACTTGCCTCGTTCCGGTACACTTTCAACCGCTACGACCAAAGAAAACATCGACAGAATCAAGAAGCTAGTCCTCGAAAATCGACGTACGAGTCTAAGAGAGTTGGCTTGTGAGGTGAACATATCTTTTAGTACATCCACGACACTTTATCCGTGCGGTGACGGAGAAAGAATACAACTCACCGCCCCTTCTCTTCCCGTGGGTGTCGTAAAAGGCGACTAAGGGATATCGGAGCTTCCATCCGCTCCTCTGGTGGTAGGGTGCCTAACACCCGCCTGGTTTGCTACCACCGTGCGCATGGTGAAAAACCCGTGAAGTGCTTCTCGCGCGTTTCGGGGTCAGCCAGCGTACAACCAGGGCTCGAGTGGAGGTTGTCGCGACGGATTCGGTCCAGGGCGAGGCATCCGTCGAACCGATGCCGGGAGGACTGCATCGACCCGCCGGCCAGGGAGACCCGTAGAAACGGCTGTCCCGCTGGCCGCCCTTGGCACAGTACAGGGGCCCGAGCGTTCCTAACCAGTTCGCGAGGCTGCCCTATCATGTCACGCATAATCTCGGGGTGGACCGTCGTGCCGGTTGGGGACCGGGGCGTGGGGTCCCGGCGGCCACTTCCGGGAGGGTGCGGGGGCCCTTCCGTCCGGCGGGTCGGCGTATATCCTCTGCAGGCAATCATTCGGGGAAACATGCCTTCCTAATTTGCCCGGTCTTGTCGCGACAAAGTCTACTCGTTTCACGTCTCTTTTTTACTTCCATAATGGCAGCTCTTAAAACAAAGTTTGGACGTTCAGCGGTGCACACCCCCACGCCTTCAACGCTGTTTGAGGTCGAGTTCTGCAACATACGCGGACTCCACTCTAACCTCAATGCTGTCCACCACCACCTTGAGACAGCACGGCCAGCATTGTTGTTCCTGACGGAGACACAAATACTTCCGCCTGCTGACACAGGCTACCTTAACTATCCCGGCTACGTGCTTGAAGAGTCCTTCAAAGCGAAAGCCGGTGTATGCCTGTATGTTCGGGCGGATGTTTGTTGTCGCCGTCTCCGCTGCTTGGAAGATCCCACCTTCTCCATATTGGGGGTACACGTCGACTCAGGTCCCAAGGCCAGAGTCTACGTGTGCCTCTACAGATCCCATACTGGTGATGTTGAGACAACTCGACTTTTCGAACATCTTAGTCGGGCAGCAGATGACGCGCAGGAGCAATTTCCCAATGCAGAATTGGTGTTTTTGGGGGACTTTAATGCTCACCACAATTTGTGGTTAAGTTCCTCGAAAACTGACCATGCAGGGATCTCTGCTCACGCGTTCGCTCTCACGCATGACTTGGAGCAACTGGTTGATCAGCCCACCAGGATTCCAGATATTTCAAGTCAAGCGCCTTCATTGCTGGACCTTCTTCTCACGACCCATCCACAGGGCTATCAGGTTGTGGTAGGAGCCCCCCTGGGCTCTTCAGATCACTGCCTGATATCTGCCAAAGCGCCACAGGCTAAACCTCCGCGTCCAACGGTGGTAAAACGCCGGATCTGGCACTATGGTTCAGCAGATTGGGACGGTATGCGTGACTACTTTGCGTCCGTCCCTTGGAAGCAGCGCTGCTTCAATGACAAGGACCTATCGGCCAGCGCCGTTGCTATTGCTGAGGAGATTGTAATGGGTATGGAATACTATATTCCTCATTCCAATCTCATCAGTAAGGGCACACGTAACCTCTGGTTCAATCACGACTGTGCTGAAGCTGCTTCGCGTAAGCAAGCGGCATATCGTGCTTGGATCAGAGGCCGCGCTCTTAAGGATCCTGGGGTCGATTCACTAAAAGCAGCCTACAATATTGCTTCCAAGGCCTGTAAGAAGGCATACATCAGAGCGGATGCCCAGCGCGTTGCACGTGTTGGTCACGAACTTATAACGCATCCTACGGGCTCCCGTAGCTATTGGCGTTTGGCCAAGGCCGTGCAAAAGAACTTCTGCCAGCCCTCGCTGCCACCTCTGAGATGTCCAGACGGAACACTAGCTCATAAGCCGCAGGAGAAAGCCGATTTACTGGCAAAACTCTTTGCGGCTAACTCCCGAATCGATGATTGCACTGCACTGCCACCATTATTACGTCATTGTGGCACAACGATGCCTGATATCAAAATCAGGCAGCGATAGGTTCGTGCCGAATTGCAATCACTCGACGTCCGGAAAGCTAGTGGACCTGATGGCATCCCAGCAGTAGTATTGAAAAAATGTGCAGCGGAGTTGTCTCCCGTGCTCACGCGTTTGTACCAGTGCTCGTATTCTTTGGGGCGTGTGCCGGAGACTTGGAGAGATGCTAACGTGCAACCGGTACCCAAAAAAGGGGATCGCTCAGACCCGGCAAACTACCGGCCAATAGCAGTCACCTCAGTATTATGTAAAGTCCTAGAAAAGGTCCTTAACAACCATCTGACCCGCTACCTAGAGGATCACTCCCTGATTAATGATCGTCAATATGGTTTTAGACCGAAACGATCGACGGGTGATCTTCTAGCGTACTTGACTCATATCTGGGGTGAGGCTATCGACAAGCGGGGCGAGTCGTTGGCTGTCAGCCTAGACATTGCCAAGGCATTCGACAGGGTCTGGCACAAAAGCCTTCTCTCCAAGCTTCCGGCATACGGTCTGCCGGCCCAGTTCTGTTCTTGGGTAGCTGACTTCCTGCATGAGCGTAGAATTCGTGTCCTTACGGATGGTAGCAGTTCGCGGTTCATGTCAGTGAATGCCGGCGTTCCCCAGGGCTCCGTCCTATCCCCCACTCTCTTTCTGCTGCATATCAATGACCTAATTCCTCTTGGGAATATTCATTGCTATGCAGACGACAGTACAGTGCATGCGGGGTATCTCGGACAAGCAGCGGCTGGGCAGGCGGTAACCAAGGAGAAACGGGAGAATCTTGTCATTGAACTCAATCAGGCTTTGGACCACATTTCTGAATGGGGTACCAAGAACTTGGTTGAGTTCAATGCTAAGAAAACCCAGGTCTGCGCTTTCACGGCAAAAACGTCGCCATTCCTTTTATGTCCTTCTCTTCAGGGCACAACACTGGAGCTAGAGAGCAGTATCACCATGCTCGGTATGGAGATTCGCTGTGACTTAAATCCAAAAAATTACATCGAAAGTGTGATAAAAACAGCCTCACGCAAACTCGGAGTCCTGAACAAAGTGCGGCGTTTTTTCACGCCCGAGCAACTATGCTTGTTATATAAGACGCAGGTTCGGTCTTGCGTGGAATATTGCTCGCACCTCTGGGATGGCTCCGCCAAGTACTTGCTCGATGCTTTGGATAGGTTACAGCGGCGCGCAATACGCATCATAGGTGATGAGGAGGTGTCTAAACACCTCGAGCCTCTTCAATTACGCCGTGACGTGGCGTCACTAAGCGCGTTCTATCGTCTGTACCACGGCGAGTGTTCTGAGGAGTTATTCTCTCTTATTCCACCTTCCCCTTTCCTTCAGAGGACCACGCGCGCTGGCTTACGTTGTCCCCGTCTAACTGTGGCTACAATTCCAACGCGTACAAAGAAATTTGGTGACTCATTTCTTTGTCGTACTATCCGTAAATGGAATGCTCTGCCCGCTCACGTGTTCCCTCCCTCTTACAACCTGGGATCCTTTAAAAGAGGCGTGAAGAAGCAACATGCAGGCCGGCAGGGTGAGGATGGCTGGTGTGGCAGGTAGAACTGCTGTATCAGCTATCTTCGCGTCTGGACTTAACATCAGGTGGGGTGGAGTCATTTGTCGGACCTATCTATAAAAAAAAAAAAAAACTCTCATTGACATTTTAGGCATGAAACGCATCGCCGCTCAACTAGTTCCAAAAGAGATAATTTTTTTTCAAAAAGCGCAGCGAATGTATGTCGCTGAAGACATGGTTTCCTGAGCTTCTACGGATCCTATCTTTACGAAACGAATAGTAACTGGCGACGAGACATGGGTTTAAAAGTACGACATGCAAACAAGCCAACAGTCATCAGAATGGCGTTTCGAAAACGAGCCGGGACCCAACAAACCGCGGCAAACTCCGAATTCATTCCAGAGGGAGAAACAGAAGAAAGGAGAATAAAGAATATTATGAAGGCGTCATGAAGAGTTTGCGTGACAGTATTCGCCGAAAACGTTCACATTTGTGGCAACACAACTCATGAATGCTGCACCATTATGATGCACCATCACACACAGCCATTAATGTGAAAGATTTTTTAGCGAAAAATTCATAAAAAGATCTCGACCAAGCACCGTATTCACCTGACATGGCTCCGCCTGACTTCTTTTTATTTCCCCAGTTAAATTACCACTTCGAGGAAAACGTTTTGAGTCGATAGAAGTCATAAAAGAAAATTCGCTGAATGAGCTAAAGGCCATACCACAAGTAGCCTACGAAAAAGGAATGGAGGACTGGGTGAAGCGGTGGAGATGTTGTACTACTTTGAAGACGATAAATTAAATTTAGAAGAATAATTAGTATTTTTTTTGATTGAAAAATTCCCAATACTTAGTACACAAAATGTATATTTATACATTATGTCGTTCCCAGTACAAACAAGCTGTGCTTATTTTGGTACTAGCTGATTGTTGTATGTCAAGAAAAAATGATGTTGTTCTTATATCCGTCATAATTGATCAGTGCATTCGCCCGGATAGCGAAGGGTGCGGGTTCAAGTCCCGTCTGCTGCCTGGTCCGCGTGGATTTTTTTCTAGTTACATTTTCTTTAGATTTACATGCAAGCAGTTACATGCCTAAAAAATTAAAATTATAAATGTAAAATGTTTAAGTAGATTGAAATATTCTAATTATAGTAATACTTTTCTTGATGGCGGTCGCATGTCAATAGATTGACATTGACATTCCGATTGTGTCACTTTCCAAGTTGTTACATTTTTAATTAACTAGGTTCATTGGATGTCCGCTGTAGCAGGCAGAAGTCAACAGAGGAAGCGGTATCAGTAACAGGTAATCAATCGGTCCTGGGTATAAAATAAAACTTAGGCACAAGAAAAAATGAAATAAATTAAAATAAGACTCAAAGAATAACTGTCAAACTCACGGTTACAGCATGTCAAACTGAGTTATTGTTTTTTTACAATATTAACTGCTTTGGACTAATTATTTTCGTCCAAAACAGTTAATAGGGAAGTTTTCCTTGAGCTGCCTTGATCATGACATTGTTTTGTTTCTTACAAAAAAAAAACAAAAAATTGTACATTTTTTAATAAATATTTATAAATGTAAGTACAGGTCTCGGCATGTAAGTCTAGCGATGAACAAAACGCGGAGGGAACAGCTGCGCATGGATACGACTGGAGAGCCAATCGGCGCAACGCACGCCCGCCCGCGCACCTCGTTTCCCCCCAACACATCTTAATTTTTACTTCTGCGCAGTAATGGTCAACGCTAGAGTTTCGTGCCGTGTCTCATAAAATATTTTTGGTATATCGATACTTTATAGGGTCATGGCAATTTGTAAACATCTGGACATGGACATATCGATATTGTCAACCATCCTACTCTAACTTGTTTTTAATGCTGTATAGTCGTAACACACGATGCTACGAACTTCACTATACATCGATTTATATAATTTTATATACCAAAAGACACACACTTGTTGACTGCAACCAGTTTTGATATGAAAACACACACTATGACACACTTCTTTAGCAAATAGGTATTGACATTCAATAACAGCACTTACCCCCTGTATATAAGGTTCAAGAGTTTCGTTCGTTTTGACAATGAGCTCCTTAGCGAGCGCGTACGCATGCTTGTGCTCCCTTTTATTGGGCTCCACCAAGTTGATGAGGATCACATTCAGAAGTTCATTGGAGACCACGTCCGACTCCGTGATCAGAGGGCAGAGGACGTCCAGCATAAAGGACTTCACTTTTGTAGAATGTTCAGTGCTGTGGACAAAAAAATATTTATTTATTTAACAACTACACAGGTCAAACCCAATACACATATGTAGGTTCCATCTCCATCTTGAAGAGCGTTAGTGGATAGTGGATTTTCCGCTCGAATTGGAGCGCCCGTCTGGGGAAGTAACCTCCGCCTTACAGAAGATCACAGTAAAATAACACTACCTATTAGTGGTGTTGTGTTTTTGGCGGTGGGTAGGGGATAGCGTCAGTGTAGGCAACGTCTCGAGTGATATTTATGTATCGCAAGCGTCTATAGGCTATAATGGCCGCTTGCCAATAGTCGGGCCATTATGCTTATTTGACACTCTTTAAAATTAAAACAAAACAATTTACAACATCAAAGTTCTAAACTTCAGCAAACTTAAACGATAAACGTTACATTCAATAAGTTGTCCTGCAGCCATTTATTAAGATATATATATATATATATTTATTTATTATTTATTAAGTAATTTTTTTTCTGGCGTTTAATGAACGGCCTAAGCGTCCAAATGTCCTCCTAATTTAACCAAATAGCTGCGACTTATTTAATGTAATAGCCAGCCACAACACGACGTGGCTTAGGTAATCATAATAATTTTGATTGGCATAATCGTGAATTGTTACTGTTATTTTAAGTAAACAGTCCTTGGCTCTGCTTTGAAGATTCAATACTATTTAGCCTTCAACTTGTGAATTTGTTATGTTTTGTTTCTTGCTCTATAAATAATTCCTACTAATATTGAAAATGTAAAAGTTTGTATGTTTGTTACTAAATCACGCAAAAACGGCTGAGCGGATGAAATTTTACACACAGAAAGCTTATAACCGGAAAGGAAACATTGAATTCTTGAAATCCCGGAAAAGAGTTAGGTTCCTAAAAGATTTTCAATAATCTAATAATAACGCGTACGAAGTCGCAGGGGACCGCTAGTACTTATTATAAGGACAAGTAACTTTGGATCGGGATCCCACGGAACTTAAACATATTTTTCTGTTTCTTTTGATCCAAATCGCAATAAAAGAAGAAAATATGTTGATTTCAAACCTATTACTTAAACTGATTTTGCTAGACACCAATATAATATGCAATCATCCTTTGATATATAATAGGGTTAATAGACTGATAAATATTTGTTCACTATCATCATGTGAGCTAAAGAAGCAAGTTGGACTGAATGGCTTATGGAACTTAAATATGACGAGTTAGGGTGGGGTACTGAACATACAAATATACAAACATCAAATATAATGATAATAGGATACTACTAGATATATATTAATATACACTTTACTGCTAACATACAAACCAAACAATACGATTATATGAAAAGGTACTTATTAAAACCTATTATATTGATTTGGTTTATAATTAATGACTTCTCAAGGCAACAGTTACAAAGTTTCTAATAGGTTGTGTAAGAAATAAATTTAGTATGACAATGTATTACAAGGGTCTGAGCCAGCTGTTAGACTGAAATTAAATAAATAAATAATTGATATTGGATAACTGCACTAAAACATTTCTGTTTTAGACAATAAAAAACACAGTTATACGTTTTCAAAATTAGTAAAAATAATGTTACCTTCAACAAACAAACACTCAGATCTTCGGCAATATGGAAAAGTTTAAGGTTCTAAGGGACAGTCAGTGTAAAAAGGAGCACAGTCGAACATACGGAATATCTCTACCCTTTTATTGTTTGTCTATGGTCTGTCTTGACATAGTTTTATTAGTTTCAATGCTGCCATCTTAAGCAGATTTCGTCAGACGTCAAATGACCGGGTATAAATACAGAGATATTCCTTTTGTTACACTGTGCCTCTTGTAACATTGTCCCCCACTTTGATTGTGATATTTTTCTTATATGAGGCTTAAAATCTGTCGGATAACATGGAAAAAATAATATTATTATTTAAAAGATATGAAACAACACTTAGTCGATAAAGCATTTTATATTTTAAAATCCTCAATAAAATCAACTCACGGATTTAATGTATTAATAAGTAGTAGTAGTCGTGAAAACTAAACGCCAAAACTCTTTTTTTTGTCGGTAATTTACAATATCCTAACCAACTATGCAACTATGTTGCTTTATATTTACACTGGTGTGCTATAAAATATAGCGCAGGCTACATTGGCGCCCAAGGAAAGAGGTCGTTCGCAGTAACCCAAATATGAATTAACTGATGTAGCCTACGCAACTCGAAATTTTTAAGGTTAGGCATTATACTGTCAGATTTAGTAACAACGGGGTCAGTCGAATTGCTTTATACCTAGGCTAATTTTGTTTTAAACATTTACATATCTGTTTTTTTAAGTTTTCATTCTTATATCATTAACTAAGACTTTTCAACAGGTATAAAACGCTTGTATAGTCTAAGCTTTTAAATTATTCCTGACAGGACCACACGTCCGGAATAATTAAAACTTCAGTTAATTTTTCTTCCGGCCCGGCTGCATATGCAGTCGTTAGCACCCACGAATCCGCACTGGGCTCGCGCGGTGATCATGATCCAGTCTTGTCTATTCCTTCCATATGAAAGGCCTGTTCCCCTGCAGTGGGGACATTAAAAGCTGATGATAATAACTTCTAAAACATTTTTTGAGCTTGCGCGATTATTACATACTACCACTCTACTGCAAACTGAATTTCAGAGAACCTTTTCAAAAACAAATTCATACTCACTTGACAATCCTAAACATGAGTGAGAAGAGCGCGCAGAATATTTCCTGACAATCCTCTAGCTCGAAGCACATATTGAAGGATTTAACGTATGCCAGGTTCTCCAGCAAATAAAAGTAGCGCTTGAACGCCGGGTCCTTGGGGTCGCGCAAGCCTTGCAGCTGTCTGATCAGGAACAGGAATATCGTCTTCACCTGGTGGAGAAGAGATAAAAATTTTAACTGTTGTTTCAATTAGAACATTTAGACATGGATGGCAGATAGCGTGACATAGCACCGGATAGCATTCGCTGTAGGTCTGCTCGCAGACAATCACCTTGTGGGTGCGTGGCCTATTGTTAAAGGGCGCCGCAACATCGCCTGCATTCCCGACACGCATTAGGGGGACCTCGGACCTAACACCAGTCCGCATTACACGGACAATTGCCGGTGGGGGCGGCGGCGAAATGCCAACGCATGATCCCGCTACGCCCCGCTCACCCGGCGTGCATTAGGGGAACTTCGGTCTTCATAGTGCATGCCGGATAATAGGTATAACCACACAATACTGTATTGTGGCCCTGCTATTTCATCTAACCTTGGGGGCTGAATAAAATGACAGGGAGGAGCCCACGGAGCCTGTGTTAGTTTCCGGTTTCCGTTTCCGGTGCGTAACGGTAACAACATGTATTTTCCAGACACAAAAAAGGGGGACCTCGGTCCTAAGAATGCTTGTCGGAGAAAGGTGCAGCAGTATTGTCTGGTTTTTACTGTTTGGTAGGGCCCTGCTCATTTCATGATGAAATGCCAAAAACGCCAGGGCTGGTTGAGATAAGCAGGAAGGAGTTCCATACCTTCTTCTTGCTCTCCCGGTGGCTGAAGATATGTAAGGACATTTCCCAGACACAAAAAAAGGATAAACCGTAACGGCGGTAAAGGGTAAAGAGACGGTTTCTACTAGGGTCTAGGCACGGTTTTAAACCGTGTCTAGGTCTGGTCGACAGTTAAGTATGTGACACTAAGGAGGTTACGACACGGGCGCTGGCGATGGTTTGGGGTCAGTACAAACGTACAAACCGTGCTCATGAACAAGCTCAGCCAGCACTGGCCCGGGTGGAAACCTTGCTTAGACCCGGCGGAAAACCGGTCGCTAACAAGCGCCTTAATGCATTGGTTCGATTTCAGCCTGATACCTGGGCTGAGTTGTTTCCATTTTATAGTACAATTTTTCTTTAGACGTGAAAATAACCTGCTAATGTCTTTCACCTAGTTACAAAATAATATGATAAGTCATCATAGCCATTATTTACTACAACTTGATAGGTTCATAGCTATTAGTCATTCTGCAAACTTTCAAAAGTACTGACGGACGGATGAACCGACAGCAAAGGCTTAGTAATAAAATTTTGTTGTTGTCCTTCGTACACGGACCCTTTAAAAATTCCATAACATAAGATTAAGAATTTTTTAATGCTTAAAGTATTCAAACTTTGATTTCTGCTTGAACCTGAAGTATATTCTACATCTAAGCCCAACATAATAGGGATGATGACTAAGAGCTTGCGCTACGTTAAGCGGGAGCACAGAGCGGGCGTTCACTCGGCGTGTTTGTTTCTTGTAATTTCGCACCGCTGCGTGAGGTGGGTCTCCCGCGCCGCGATGTTCCATGAAATGACATAAAAACTGCACGCGGAGCAGACGCCCACTCCGTGCTCCAGCTTAAAGGCCAAAACACAAGAATTTGTTTTGGCCCTAAACGCAGCGCAGCGTGTAACTTTTTTCTTCGTCTATCAGGTACATTATTAAAAAGAACTGCGCACGTATTTTTTCTTTTTTTCATAATCAAAACATTCTGAGATATCTTGATGAATTGATTTGAAATGTCGCATGACGTCACGTCTTGATACAATTTTACGTCGTCGTGACGTCCCGAAGCCCCACTCTTAAACTTTGAGGCGCTATTTCTTTGTGATTTTTAGTTGATTGTAAATCAAAAAATAAGTTTCCATTTTTTTTATGTAACTGACTGACTGAATGTAATTTCGATTACTTTATCCCGTCATTACACATATTTATTCGGCAACTTTAAGCAGCTGTAATTAATCATTTACACTTCATGTGAGATTTGAAATAATAACCCTGTCGCTGAAAAAGGATGAGCTTATCGTAGCCACAAAACACCCAACGATGTACCCATATCTTTAGTTAATAGTTAGTGCCTACCTTATATTTATGAAATGCTTTTTCATACTAAAAACTCTTTTGGAAACTTACTACGTACAAAGTATTAAATCAGTGTGGACACTACGCTACTACAAAGCAATGTCTCACTTTGAGAAACAGTCGCGACTGGTTTTAATAGAATTCTAAACACAGACCACAGAATATTGCAGTCGGCTATGAACTCGGTATGACTCCGTGTTTTTCAGAGATTAAAATGTCTTTCTAGAGTGTTCATCCAATTTGAATAAAGAAATTATTTGGCTTTGCCTTGTGACTTTGAGATGAATTCCTATAAAGATGTAGATTATCGTTGAGGCGATGAAGTTTACTCCGGAATTTTCAGCCATGAAATATACTTTATTCAAATCGACTCTGTACTACATACTTATGACTTGCAATTTTATTCAGGATGTCTTTTAGCGGATAAGGAGAATGTGCACAAAGAAACTTCCGGTGCAGCGCCAGCGTTATGAAGTGCTGGTACGTGCCTCGTCCTGGCCCAGACCTTGGAGGGTGTGGGCCAGTACCTGAACAAAAAAAGCTCACCTAGTCCTGGTCTTCCTACAGCGCCTCCGGTGCGTAGACACTAAGCACTTCGGCGATACAACACACTATGAGCACGTCCCTGGAAGGTTTGGTCAGAAAGATTTTGTCCATCTCGTTACTAATTCTGTTCTATTCTACTGACTCACCTGTTCCTGGTCTTTTTAGGGCGCCTCCGAGACGTAAACCCTGAGCACGTCAGCGCCGGCGTTGCAACACGCTATGAGCAGCTGCACGTCCCTGGACGGGTGGGTCAGGAAGATCTCGTCCGTCTCGTTACCAATTCTATTTTATTGACTCACCTGTTCCTGGTCTTTTTAGGGCGCCTCCGGGGCGTAAACCCTGAGCACGTCGGCGCCGACATTGCAACACGCTATGAGCAGCTGCACGTCCCTGGACGGGTGGGTCAGGAAGAACTCGTCTGTCTCGTTACCAATTCTGTTTTATTGACTCACCTGTTCCTGGTCTTTATAGGGCGCCTCCGGGGCGTAAACCCTGAGCACGTCAGCAATGCAGCACGCTATGAGCAGCTGCACGTCCCTGGACGGGTGGGTCAGGAAGAACTCGTCCGCGAGGTGGAGCGCCAGGGGAATGTACTGCTGGTACATGCCCTCGTCCTGGCCCAGACCTTGGAGGGTATGGGCCAGTACCTGAACGAAAGAGACATTATTATATTTATTATTTAAATATTAAACTGCTAGATTTATAAATCTAAAGAAATCCAAGCGGTCCAAGCACAAAATAGAGAGTACAGAAGGTAAAACTGCTAGATTTATAAATCTAAAGAAATCCAAGCGGTCCAAGCACAAAATAGAGAGTACAGAAGGTAATCTCATCTCTCAAACTCAATCGCTACGCTCGGCGGTTGCGCTAGAATTGACAACTTCTCAAGCGGATGGAACTCGCGTTCGCAGTGCTTCCGACTGGTCCGAGATATCGTGTCCGTGAGCGGTGTCTATGTGTGAGTTGCACGAGCACACTTTGTATGTAGATTACCTTCTGTACTGTATATTTTGTGGTGCAAGTATCAAGTAGGATTTGAACCCTGCACCTTCCGCTATTAGCCCGACTTTATAAGACACATTAAAACAATCAATGATTTCTCAAACTGAGAAAGAGGCGCAAGTAGAGTAGTAAATTCATTTCTAATAAATATATCTCAAAGTTGAAGTTCTCTAGAGTCATAGTATTTATATAAAACAAAATCGTTTTCGCTGTCTGTACGCTTAGAACTTTTAAACTATGCAACGGACCTTAATGCAGTTTTCGACAATATATACAGTGATTAGAGGAGGGTTCATACGTTTAATACAATCTCTAGAGCAAAACTAAAGTCTACACCGAAGCGAAACGAAGGCGGGTCACTAGTTGTAAATAAGAGGTTAAAAGAGTTTCGTAAAATGTTTCTTTCGTGTACAATTTTGTTATATTTGTAAAATAGCTTCATCATTCTTCTTTTCTTAATTTAACCACGTACTGGTACTTAGTGTAAGAGTGTGTGTTAATGATACTTAAGTAATAAGTACATAATTAACTTTGAAATTCCGTAAACAAACTAACTGCGTAATATCCTTCGTATAGGGTTGCCAGATGGTCCAGAAACGTCCGGTTTCTCCCGACGTTTATGTAATCTCCAGACTCTCGACAAATAACGAAATCTCCCGACAAACAACAATGACGTTACACTTGTCGATTACCCTGTGCTGCAATATTAATTGAATAGTACACGAGATTGGGGCTCATGGACTATCCACTTCTACCTTAAGTAGGACGTAAGACGTCAGGCGAGGCGGGGAGTTATTCTCCCGACAACAATCCCAAAATCCCGACATTTGAAATTCTTATCCAGATATTTAGACTTCTCGATCTGGTAACCCTACCTTCGTAACAAAGCAGGCACATCAGTAACTCGATCAAACAAATAAGAGTAATACGACCTCGTCAAAATCTGAATGTGCATTTATGCATTTAGATAGACAATACAAAAGTGCTCAGATAGCAATTTGGCGTGGTGATTTCATAACTGCCTGTGCACAGTCGCGCGTATGACAAAACAAAACATTATAGCATGTATATACATATAATATGCGGGTTATATAGTTGATGAAACGCCATGGTAGAGTAAAATGTTATGCAAAAATTTGCTCGATATAACCCTTGCGGGGATGACAAAGTAGGTATCAAAGGTTTTTTTTATAGCCAGGCAGGCAAATGACTACCCCACCTGATGTTAAGTGGTGATAAAGTTCAAATGCGAAGATAGCTGGTACAGCAGTTATAAACTGCTACACCAACCATCCTGACTTTACCGGCCTGCAAAAAAGGTGCTACAGGTTTGACAGATAACAATCATCGTCATTATTGAGAAGCTCGATGGCGCAAGTGGTTAACGCGCTCGGTTGCGATAGTTGAAGTTAAGCAACTTTCGGAGTCAATTCAATTCTAATTCAAATTATTTATATCAGAACTAGGTTCCATAGTGTTAGTTACATTTGATTTACTTATAAATATGTTAGTATAATAAAGAATTATAAAGAATTACATAAAATATTACTATTGGATATAGAGCTTTACTCAGTGTCGTAGCAGAGGAGTGTCCCACCGGTCATTAAATACTCTCAGGAGGCTGTTGGTACTAGAGTGGAGACTAGTGAGCATGGAAGCGGACCTCTTTCTAATAATGGCATACAAGTCGTCCGTATGCGCCTCCGCAAACATTTTTGACGCGCTGCAACTCCGCGCCAGTCTCAACAGTATCCTCAAGGCGTTGTTATATTGAATACGCAGGTCGCTGTATGCGCGCTGCTTTGAAAGGCACTTTAAGCCGCTGGTCCTAGCTGCATCTTCAGTCGTAAAACACGTATCAGTACGCACTGGGCCCGTGGTGGGTCATGATTGGCCCAATCTTCTCATTCCATCAATAGGGAAGGCCTGCTCCCCAGCAGTGGGTATATAAATAGGCTGATGGTGATCATCATTATCATCAGTCTGCCTGTGTCCATTTGTGAGCACAGGCCTTGTCTATTTTTTTTCCACAGCGCTCTGTTTTGGGCTTTAGTCATCCAGTTATGGCTTGCGTGACCCGTAAGAGCGGAGGCGAGCTATGATTTTTCCATACAAACGTTCTCAAATGATGGATCGCGTAAAAGTTTACGAGGTGATACTACATATTCGTTGCAGAACTTCTAATTATGCTTACATAAAACTTGTTTTAGTCTTTCGAAGGTAGCTCGAAAAAGTAAATAAAAAATCATTATCCTGACGATGCAGCCCTGAAAAGGCTGCGAAACGTCAATAAATAAATAAAGTTCGTGCATTAACCCGTTAAAACTAGTTTTATTTAATGAGTGATGTGCGTGAAAACCTTAGAAACAAATATTCTAATTATGCTACTAATTATCTTCATACAAGTGTAAACAATATTGCTAGAGTACCCATCAACATTGGGAAGAGTTTAACAGGTACCGCGAACAAGCAATAAATCGTCACTCGGTACCCGGATCTCCTACCCCTCCCCTCTGCCTTGACCTAGCAACATACTAAATGACCAAATCCATTATATTATAACAGTATGATATCGATAAATCATAATATCATATTTAAATGTAATGTTCTTAATATAAACAAGTGTCGAAGTGTTTAGATATTTATATGAATAAATATTAAAATAATCAAAGAGAGAAAAATAGTATGTGCATGTGATATACCTGTAATAAAATCATATATGGAAATTGTATGTGCATAATTAACCAAGTTTTATTTACTCCGGTCTCCTAAATTGATTTATTCGTTATTACCCTCACGTAGTTGTCGTCTCAAATCCATTCCTAATAATATTCCCAAAGAAATACGTACACAAACTTTGTCATCAATAACATGTAATGTAAATAGTAAAAGGGTTTATTGTCTTACTTGGCAGCTCTTTCGGTTTCTATGGCGAAGCCAATCAAGTTAATGTGACAGGCAAGACTGAAGCAGGCGTATTTCCTCAGCGCTATTGTTGACCTTGGTTGAATGTGTACAAATATTATATGTATACAGCAAGTAACATACATAGTTCCAAAGTACTATGCTATGTTTCAGGGTAACGTTTTAAGGGTTCTGTACCCAAAAGGTAAAACGGGATCCTATTTAGTACTTGCTCGATGCTTTGGATAGGTTACAGAGGCGCGCGATCCGGCTAGGCGATGAGGAGGTGACTAAATACCTCGAGCCTCTTCGATTACGCCGTGACGTAGTGTCACTAAGCGCGTTCTATCGTCTGTAGTAGCACGGCGAGTGTTCTGAGGAGTTATTCTCTCTTATTTCAGCTTCCCCTTTCCTTCAGAGGACCACGCGCACTGGCCTTCTTTGTCACCGTCTAACTCTGGCCATAATACCAACGCGCACAAAAAAAATTTGGTGACTCATTTCTATGTCGCACTATCCGTAAATGGAATGCTCTGCGCGCTCACGTGTTCCCTCCTTCTTACAACCTGGGATCCTTTAAAAGAGGCGTGGAGAAGCAACATGCAGGCCGACAAAATGAGGATGGCTGGTGTGGCAGGTAGAACTGCTGTACCAGCTATCTTCACGTCTGGACTTCACCGTCACTTAACATCAGGTCAGGAGTGATTTGTCGGACCTATCAAAAAAAAAAAATATTACTACGATCTATTTTGTGCTATTAACAAGACTACTGTCCGTCTGTCTGTCACCAGGCTGTATCTCATGAACTAGTAATTTATGTTGCCACATTAACAACAAATACTAAAAACGGAATAAAATAGATATTTAATCGGGCCCTCATACAGCAAACGTGATTTTTTGCCGTTTTTTTTTGCTGGATATTATAATATATTATCTAATGTTGTATAGATAAATTGGTACTGAACTTTTTAAGCGACGAGTCCGACCGGCACACCCCTGTTTTGATTAAATAGAATGAATGAAGGACAGATTCAGTTAAAAATACCTACAGAGCAATAACTCTTCTCGGTATTTATTATTTTAGTTTTAAAACGTGTTCACCAATATTATTAATCATTGTACCTATGTTATTTTTTAATATGCTATCCTTGCTATAAAGTTGTATGCTATCAGTTTTTGACTCAAATTTATGACATATTATGTATTTCAATTAAGTAATGATGACTGTAATCAAATTTTAATAACATAATAAGTTGAATTATTTTATGACAGTACATCTGTTATAATTATATAATTTCAATTTACTAACATAGTTAATAAGTAAAATTGTTACTAACAAACTGTGGACATGTGCTGAAAATACATGTTATCTTTATAGTATATATAAATCTCGTGTCACAATGTTTGTCCTCAATGGACTCCTAAACCACTGAACCAATTATAATAAAATTCGCACACCATGTACAGTTCGATCCAACTTGAGAGATAGGATAGTTTAAATCTCAAATTATAGTCGCAATTTTAATTTATTGCAAATTATTACTTTTGGGCGGTACGAAGTTCGCCGAGTCAGCTAGTTATTATTATAAAATTCGATAGAAGAATGGGATTACGCAACTTTGGCGTCGCAATCTGATGATAAGGAATAAATAAATAAACATAATTATCTTCTATCACACACACATACCAATTAATCTTAGCTCCAAAAGTAAGCGTTTAGCGTATACATAAATAAGTTTGT